ATCCCTGTGTTACGTGTAATTTGTCATGCTGTCTGGGTGTGATGTTATCAAAGTGTGGGTATTTCAAGATTATGTGCATATGTTCCTATGAAATTTTACGTTAATGCTTAATTGATTTATGTAAACCATGACAGTCATCAGAGATCTCAGATTGTATGTATTTACACTAGTTTATGCATCTGTTTTTCATATATAATAAACTTAAGGGACCAGGGTGCAACCTGGTTTTGTCTTGTGCAACAAGGTTTCAGTGACAATTTAAAGAAACATTTCCAATTAGAAGTATCCCGACTGTAACATTAACTGATTAAGAAGATTTGAGTCACTGTCTTCAGACAATTTATGTTGATACCAGTTCACATGTCCTTACTCATCATTGCTCATGTCATATAAATATTTCATGTTGTATTGATATGAAATTCATACTGGCACGAGGTATTGTCTTGCACCAAAACTTCAGCAAATCTTTACAACCCCAGACAACTGTCCAAAATCTCAAATCAAAGAACAAATAGAGAAAATGGAGGTTACTTCTCATCACACCCAGCATCAGTTTGAGTGAGTGAGTGAGTGAGTTTGATTTTACGCCGCTTTTAGCAATATTCCAGCAATATCACGGCAGGGGACACCAGAAATGGGCTTCACACATTGTACCCATGTCGGGAATCGAACCTGGGTCTTGGGCGTGACGAGCGAACGCTTTAACCACTAGGCTACCAGGCCGCACCAGCATCAGTTTGACAGTTAACTAAAACATATGCTGCTGGACAGTCGGCAACAGTGTTTTTATGCCTCCTTAAGCACGTCAAACATGTTTAAGTTCATCAGATAGTTTAATTTAGAGTTTTTAAAATCTGATTGACATAAACATTAAACAGTGATAAACATGATACAAAGGGTTGACTATTTAACAGTTTTACACAACAATGATGTTTTATGCAATAAAGAGGACTTCACTGATTGCAATGCTTTTTTTTTATATCTGATTTGTTAGGTCAGGTCTGTGTCAAATGCAAATGTGTCCTAACTTGTTTTGTAAACTCGTCTCCAAAGAGTAGATTTGAACTGGTATGTCATGATGCCTTCACAGCATGACATACCAGTGTTGCCTTGGCCCATTGCTCAGCATGCACAACCACATATCATTGCATACTTTGATTCAGATCAATACAGGCAGTATGTCTATTATGTGTGTATAACATATTATCGTTTTTGTGTGTGATATTTGACCTCAATGGTCTTCACTCCGATCATTTAGGATTTGGTCTGTACCAATTTCTTCGATCATGTTTCTAGGTTTGTCAGCACCATACCCGTGCTCGTGGGTTTCACCGAAGTGGTAAACGTCTGAGACCTACATCACTTCGGGCTTTCATCCCACATTAAGCTGACACGCCGCGATATAACTGGAATAGTGTTAAAAGCGGCGTTTAACCCAACTCACTCACTCACTGTACCAATTTCTTAAGGCTGTGAGACCCGTGAAGATCCGGGGTAGAATAGCTCTTCAGCAACCCATGCTTGACGTAAAAGGCAACTATGCTTGACGTAAGAGGCGACTAATGGGATCGGGTGGTCAGACTCGCTGACTTGGTTGATGCATGTCATTGTATCCCAATTGTGAGGATCGATGCTCATGATACTAATCACTGGATTGTCTGATCCAGACTCGATTATTTACAGACCTCAGTCATATAGCTGGAATAGTGCTGAGTGCAGCGTTAAACAAACAAACAAACAAACTTAACATGCTTAAGGCTGATGCAGGGCCAAGCAATATTCACTCCCTCTCATATGTATAATAATTAAATTTTTCGTTGCTACGCGGATACAGTTTGCACATCGGTTTTTCGATTCATACCTCAATGAACGGAAAAAAATACACAGTCAATCCTTAATTGATACAGATGCAAATGTCACACACTTTCGGGTGAACTATAGAGCCCCTTTTCAGTCTTAGAATTTCGTCTTTCTTTAAGACTTGTCCAGAGGACTAGTGTAAACATCACTTCACAAGTCCACAGAGTTTGTCATGTTGGTAGCTTGTCCTGCTTCAACAAGACAAAAATGTTCACAATGTGTATAAATATTTTCTGTCAGTTTTATTTGTAGCAAAAATGAAGCATTGAGAACTGATTCAGAATGACAGCCCTCAAATGCTACTTGTCAATGAGGACGACTGGATTTTTACTTGTCCTCAACATAAGTTAGTCTCGGGGTACCGGTCTAGTTTGAATTTTGAAAACTGCCCTTATGTGTGTATTGTCACATCAGTGAACCCCTTGGGGTCTCAAACCCATCTCCAACTTGGTATTCCCTGTCAATTAAATAACATTCATACTAGGGCTGGGACGGGTAACTCGGGTACCCGGGTCGGGTGGGTACTGAGTAGGACCCGGGTACCCACAGGACTACCCGGACCCTTGGTTAGTCACGTGATATATTGTTTAATGACAAAAATTATCTAGAACTCTATAGTTGCACTTATGTCACCAATGTTCGTATTTCTTTCTGACTAAGCACCCAATCCTTCTGATTTTTTATATGGTTGAATAAAGATATAACTTAATTCAACTTCAGTGTATGAATGACCAGATTGTTTAATACATGTATCTAAATACGATTTGCAAGGGCTATGCTAAAAATGTTCCCGATCAGACATTTTGAGACATCTCCTGAGACCTACAGTAGGTACCCGGGTAGGGTCGGGTAATAGGGTGGTGGGTACCCGGGTAGTAGATTTGGACTCGTCCCAGCCCTAATTCATACACCATACACCCTGGAGTTAGTAAGTGTTTTTTGTGTGCCTGAGTAAGCAATATTCCTGCTACAGTAAACTGCGGTTATGAGAAACTCAAAGGGACTACTTATTTTAGTTCGTTATCAGCACATATACAGCATAACTACAGCAAATAGTCGGGACCCAAAAAGTAAGTTCGTTATATCCGTCAGTTCGTTACAAGAGTGTTTGTTATAACCGTAGTTTACTGTATATAGATCTAGTGAGGGATTTTTCTTGAATTTTTAATAACTGTAAGAAAATACGTTTTGTCACAAGTTGTCCTTATTTTCTGTTGTTATTTGTCATCCTTTCTGTTCTCAGTTGATCCAGACAGCTAATTATGTGAACCAAAACTCTTTATGAATTTCATACTTGTAAACAAGGTATTAAGTGTGTATGCTTATCATGTTTAAAGGTCTTCCAAGAAAGCACTGGTCCCCAGTAAGCTGAAACTGAACCTGGAAGATAGTTTCAATAATTAGTTTAACTTCCAGGTTTAAGTTTCAGACTGTTGCAGATGATAGAGCAAATAAAATCTATTTTTTACATGTTCTCAACAAAAGAGTCAGCATCTGGTACTTGTCATGAACCGATGCGGCTATCATGTGCCGTTATATTTATTTTGTAGTCTTCACTGTAATAACAAGTTAATTTTTAAATTTCAATCTGTATTGTATTTGTTTGTAAATAATCCAGACAATCCAGTGATTGACATGAGCATAGATCTATGCAGTTGGGATACGATGACATGCATCAACAACTCAGCTGATCTCCGTAAGTCTTATGTCTTATGACAAGCATGGGTTGCTGAAGACCAATTCTAACCTGGGATATTCGTAGATACAGATTCTTTAAAGAAAGAAGGATGTATGAATAGAATGGATGTAAATCTAAACCATCAAGTAATGATCATGTCAGGGTCACTGTATGGCTGTGTTAACAGGGCAGGAGGCGGATCAAATTATCAGCCCAACAAACTTTGATACAACCAGTTGAAACATCACTTTGTTTGCTCACTCATATCTGTATTTAATCAGATAATTTACTTTATTATGTGGGGACAATGTCTCCGTGTCACACAAGGCACAGCTTACAATGCAAGTGGAACTATTCAGAAAATAGGAAGTAGACAGTCTTTCAAAACTCTGTGTTAATTCCTTTGGGTAATGGTACTGTCGTGGCTTTTCTCAGACCATGATCGGAGTAGTGTTGGAAGTTAGGCATTAAAGTCAAAGGGCCCTTGGCATTGCCCAAATGTTAAAAGATTCAATTGCCATAGGAGAAGAACACAAGGACCCACGGACTCTTCAGCAACCCATGCTTGTCGTAAAAGGCGACTATGCTTGTCGTAAAAGGCGACTAACGGGATCGGGTGGTCAGGCTCGCTGACTTGGTTGATGCATGTCATCGTTTCCCAATTGCGAGGATGGATGCTCGTGATGTCAATCACTGGATTGTCTGGTCCAGACTCGATTATTTACACAGACCGCTGTCAAAAAGCTGGAATATTGCTGAGTGCGGCGTTAAACAACAAACAAACCAAACCAAACCATTCAAACTTGTCAAATATTTCCTTCCAATTTTATGCTTTTGATTTTAAGCAGAACAAAATCATTGTAACTTGATATAGATATGACAATGGCCATGGATTCTAGACGTAAAATAATTCCTTAACATCATTTATTTTGACTTTATTTTTAAACCTTTAAATTGCTTTAAAGTCTGTTATATCTGAAATTCTAAATTTCTTTGTGCACCACTTGGTCTGACAATAGATCCCAAATTGTCATTTGATTGACTTATTGGGTAGTTTCATTGGCTCCATGACATAATAGTCAGCACGCAAAATGATTCATCCATTCATGAAAGTATAAAGTCAGCCTCAGTTTCGTTAAGAGTATTCCATTGATTATGATAATACCAAATGCCCCCAGTTTAGCCTGCGGCCATTGTGGCTGATACTGCCATGTCTGTCCACATCCTCCATTGTGGAGAACCAACTCATGGGAGACCGGGTGTGACACAACAAGTGGTAATCTGTTCCGCTGGACTGACTGACAAGACCAACAGCTATTGAGGCGATGCCAAATCCGCATAATGTCTGCCGATCAATACTCGATCCATTCCCAGCATCCTCTGCAAGTTCAGGCTTAATAGTAATGGATACTGACGGAATTCTGATCAATATTTCCCAGTTTCTTTGAGGTTAGCGCTTTGCTGGGCCAGAAATACCATTACCTATGCTAATTAATTAATTTATGAAGAAATATTCCCCAGTTTGCTCAGAACGAGACTGTATGCCTGTGGTATCCTGCGTGTAGTGAACAAACAAATGAATAATGTGGTAGCTGGTTGGCATAGAATCAGACATGACGTGATACATTAGCAATTCTTCCCAGCCTCAATGATAATAATAAATACACCTATAGAAAAATGGTGGATCTCGACTCGTCTCTGAAGAACTGGATGGAAGGACAAGTCTTGCAGCATGGATATTAAATAGGATGGGGGATTTTTGACAGCTTGACAACGTTCTACCATCTGATTCTTGAAATTGACGTCCTGGTGATTTTCCTTTCAGGGATTGGATCCTCTGGGGTCGGTCCTGATCCATTCCAGTACAGGAGATCCAGACCGTATCACTAGAAACTAACATCTTTACCAGGTCGGCTGGGAGGATAGCATTGATTTCAGCAAAAAAAACGTAAGTTTCATTTCGATCTTTTGGGATTGTGTATTAACAGGGATGAATATTGGTGTCTGTGGTTATGTCACCATGAAATATGTAATCTTGAAACAGAGTTTGACATCAACATGTCAGCCCTTCTAATGTCTATTTCATCATGGTTTTGACATTAAGTCTGTCCCGAGACATTTTGGGCACATGTAATTACTAGATTTCCCCATAAATTTGTCAGCACTATGTAATTATGAGAAGAATTGACTGACAGCAAGGATTTAGGGGAAGCGGATTGCAACAGATAAAAACAACAGTGATGATAATAATCTATTGTGTCACGTACATCATGGATTGAAATCAATAAATGATAGGAACATTTTGTTTTTTGAAATCTACAATGAAAGACGTTATTCATCAAAGTGTGGCTGAATTATTCAGCCCTACATTATGTCACACCTGTGACTCACTAAGGATGGTGATGAAAACATATATACATATTGATTGGCCGTGCCGTCATTAGTGCAAATCAATTTGGTTCTGTGTTAGAAATTTACATATCAATGAAACGTACATCATTTGACATCTACAGAACTGTATGAGGGAATTTGAGGGGGTGGTCACAAATTATTTAATATGTTTTTGATGAAGATATTAACTAAATGGCTAAATTCAATTTGAATGTGTCTCTCTTGCAAAGACAAGTTTTGAAAAATAATGTTGGTGATCCAAATCTGTAAACATTTTTTGAGAGAATGCCGAGAATAAACATGTGTTATACCAGGAAATATACAGTGTTCGATATCAAGGGTGCTTGTTATAACACTTACCGTATTCAACGTAATAAGCGCCCAGGGCGCTCTCAAAATTAGAAATAGGGGGCTCTTATTAGAATATTATTTTAGTGAAAAAAGACAGAGTTAAAAGGTAAATTTCGTGGTTTTTGCTGACAGCCTGAAATGTTTATGTACGACAGATATATTTTTCCAGAATTTAATTGCCCATAATTAAGTGTGCATATAACAGATGAGTACGTATTTTAAGCGAATATATAAGTCTTGTGTACATTGATCAATCGGAAGGGGTGCTAATTAGGATTGTTCACTGGCCAATTTATGGCCATGGGCGCTTATTACGTTGAATACGGTATGTTCAGTTAAACATTTCGGGGGGTGCCTAGATTCAAATACAATGGATGACCTCAAGGTACACACTGTCCCCCTTAATTTCAAACGCTGTTTGTTAACATGTGTATCGTGGTTGGTTAGTTGATATTAAACGGCCCTGTGTCAAAGGAGCTGAAATTAACCTATTGGTATACGTCAGGAACAAATTTTGAATAATGGGAATGGAACAGATTTTGCTGGATCCTGGATATATCTGGTGTAAAAGTAATAGAAATTAAAAAAGGCCGACTCTATTTGTCTGATGTTCACCCAGTAACTGTTGGTATAAATGAGATAATTAAACAATGTGTCATGCTTTGTATTGTGAGATGTACGATTATAAGCAGATGAAAAGAAAGGTGTTGTAAAAGGAAGTCTTTTAGAAAGAATGAGTGAGTTGGTTGGTTTAAACTCCGCTTTTAACAGTATTTCAGTTATTTGACGGGGTGTCAGCTTAAAGTGGGAGGAAGCCAGAAGTAATTCAGGACTTGGACGTTTACCACTTTCGTGAAACCTATGAGGATGGGTATGGTGATGACAAAACTAGAAACATAATTGGGGCAAATAGGGATCAAACCTATGATCATAGGTTTCTCGTGCGCCCCTGTAACTCTGCACAGCGACTTAGATAACAGGGCCACCTGTGCCCCCTTTTAGAAAGAACTCAAATGGTCAGATTGAGCCTACCCAAGGGATGACATCCAAGGTTATAAAGAGTCATCACTGAAATGACAAGGATTGTGCAAATCTTGATGCTTGAAACCCATGAGGGTCCTGATGGGTGGGTCCCATAAGCAGTAAGCAGTAAAATTTAGGGTACTTTTTCATTAAGCAGTAATTTTTCTTCTTTTTCAATAAAATCATCGCGAAAAATTCCAAAATCGGCCATGGAGGGACATGGGACTTTTAATTCTGCTTTCGTTTCTTCCTGACAATTCATATTTTTAATACCGGGTAAAATCTCAAATCGCTAAACATTCTAGACTGGTCCCCTGCGTCAGTTGCGCAGCCTGCTTTCTGTGGCGAAGCATTTGGGTCTTGAAGACAGACTGTTTTTGACCATTTTAATCATTTTACATTAAGCAGTAAATTATTTATTTACGTAAAGCAGTTATTTTTTGGTATTTTACGATAAGCATTTACGATAAAAAAAAGATGAATTTTACGTTTACGATAGTGTTTGAAGGGTGTTTTACGTTAAGCTTTAAAACCCATCAGGACCCTCACCCATGGGTATCACAAGGGGTGAGATTGTACGCTTGGGCATGAGCATGATGCTCACACTATTGTCCACCTGTTTGTATTCTGCGGAGCTGGTTATTTTTGTCACAGGCTATGTCATGTGCCAGTCACTAAATATTGTTGGCCACTCTGAAAATGCCTGGGGTTTATCTAAGATTTTTATATGAGGGATTTAGGCAGTCAAGTCAGGAAAAGATACTGTGTTCCTGATTGAGTTTGTAAACCTTGCATTCAGTGCAGTTATTTAAGACTACCTTTACAGTATAAAAGCCTTTTTCTATTTATGGGTTCTTTCATCAGCTGTAATATTTGTAATCTTTGGAAAGCTTAAACATTAACATTGTTCGTGTTAATGCAGAAAGGTTTATGTTTCACACATTCAAATCTAAATAAAACTTGAGATGGTTTGCCTTATAGTCATTTGGATGAGTAATTTATATTAAATATCTAGATTTTGGTAGCAAACAGCTGGTCCTCTGGATTTTCACAATTCTTGGATTGACGGATTAGTGGTCGTGTCTGTCCCTGCAAAACTTTACAAGTGTTATTTTGAATGCACTGGCAAAACACCACTTTCACTGAGTGGCAGTTATGTTAATCTGAATAGGAAAGACTTATTTCATTTGAGGCCCTTCGCATGCCAAGATGATGATCTGAAAGTCTCTCCCATTCACTTAACTTCAGAAGCAACTCTTCGAAGTATGATGATTAAAAATATTTGTGAATATATCAGATATTATTTGAGGCTGAATACATTTTAAAAACAATACATCTTGCAACAATGTATTTATTTTGGCAGACAAGTTTTTTTTCTAACTGCCTGAAGCATAATTATTTAATTTTTCAGAGCATATTCTGGGACATTTTTTTGTTTTGATAAAATGCCAGGGCCCCTGTATGTCAAAAGGTCGGTCCCTATGTTAAAGAAATGTGCTGCTGTTGTCAGCTGTTGTCAGACATGGGGGTCAGTAGCATGTCCAAGATATACATGGTTATATCACAGGTGAAGGCGGTGACCTTGATAAAGACGTGATACAATGCTGTATCCACAACCTTCTTATCATCTACCAGCTAATATACACAATAGATAAAACACGGAATAGAAAGGCCAATTCAAAGGACTCTCTTTTGGCATTAAAAGTACTTGTGTTTCATGTAACAAGCAGGTGTTGGGTCAGGAAGTATGTTGGTTCATAATAGTGGTTAAAAACAATCACTGTTTTTGTTTAGATTTAACTTAAGAGAGGAGTATGCTTCATCACTTTTGTAGGCAATAGGTATGGTACAGATGTCAGGAAAATTATCAAGTTGCAAGTGCAATTATTGATGGTGTGAATCACAACTGCTTCATAACTGTTAATAACTGTCACTCAGGATGTCAGATGTGTGAATGCACAAGCCAGGTTCTACATTCCAAATCTTCACTATGTGAATAGGAGTGGGTAAGCGTTTGAAAATAATTATGAGTTTATGTTGTAAGGTGCCATAGATAATGTTGTGCAGCCAATCTCGATTAAGTGTAACAGGCATTTGTGATCATCATCAGTCAGGGAGGCCTCCTGAAAATGTAGACTTTTTTCCATCCACACGCCCATTATTTTCATGTACTTGGGCAGGTCACTGAACCTGCTCATTAAATAACTTGCATGCCCTGGATACTGGTGTCGCCAGTCTGTGAACGCTTTACTGGTTCCCGGATACTGTTTGTTTTGTTTTCTTGTGAAATAAAATAGACACAATTATCATGAATATATACCTATTTGTGTCTTTCTTAAGGTGAACTTGCACTTCTCTCAAAACAGTGTTTAGAAGCAGGTCTGAAATGCTCTGATTGAATTGCAACGAAAGCTGCATAAACATGAGGTCATCCTGACTGGTGATAATGAATGCAACATTCAAATTTGTAGTTTTGTCCAACATTTCAATTTTACCTTTTGTCTATGTTGCTGTACAGAACTGGTTATGGTTTAATAACATGGAACATATTAATCTTGCCTTTACATGGCTATGGATTGGAAATATGTTTGGTAAATCAGAAAATATACTGAAAATGTCACCTTCATGTCATCTGGTCTTGGTTAAAGTTTGACATCTACTCATAGTGACATTAAATATTAACTCACTCACTTCCACTTATTCTGGATCACCATGTTAAATAAATATTATGTATGTGCAGTGTTTAAAATTTATGAAAGAATGAAAGTTTAAGGGTCATTGTCATATCCCTAATATTAAAAGATTTTGGGAGCCCCTGCATTCAAAATAACATAGAAGAACACCTCAAGGGCCCCTAATTCCCAACACTGTATGTATATTGTTGCTAATTCAAGATACCCGGTAGGATCCTGGTTAGAATAGGTCTTCAGCAACCCATGCTTGCCGTAACAGGCGACTATGCTTGTCGTAAAAGGCGACTAACGGGATTAGGTGGTCAGGCCTGCTGACATGGTTGATACATGTCATAGATCCCAATTGCGTAGATCGATGCGCATGATGTGAATCACTGGATTGTCTGGTCCAGACTCGATTATTTACAAACCGCTGTCATATAGCTGGAATATTGCTGAGTGTGGCGTTAAACAAACAAATGTTTATTCAAGAACTTCATTGTTTCATTAGAAGACATGATAAAAAAATAGTAATGTGTAAATATTTTCACATTCCTCAAACTTATTAGGCTAAGTTGCAGTAAACCGGTCACCTTCTGCCATTTTGGTAAGGTTGGGTGCAAGTTCCTTCTTTAGTAATGGTTTCTGAGTTGTTCCGCTGCTGGCCCCACTCCCCAAAATCCCAGTAATAAAAGCTTCTGTAAAAAAATGTCATTTTCAGTTAAACTTAATAAAAAAGTACAACATGTTTGTTGAAATGTGGCCCGATGCGTGTAACTGATGAGGGTGTCATTATGAAACTTCTCTTTTCGTGTAATTTTTCGTTGTTGATGTCTGATTTTCGATGTTAATAAATTGCTTTGTTATTCAATTTTCGTGGTTTATTAATATTAAACCATACACATTCATATGGCATCATATTGTCTGCTTATTTTGAGCTTTATATCCCCTGTTTTTTAAACAGCCATGCTGTCGCGTGCCCCAGTGTATTAGAAGCATAAAAAACAAATATGGCTGACACCGTAATGCATTGTTTCACTGTTATTAAAATGCATTCGAAGAATAATGACAGGTCAGGACTAATATGACTAAATTATTGAATATTCAATTTAGAAAGCTCCGATTAATCATAATATGAGCTGTGTCACTTTGACTCCGTAATTACTTGGACTAATTTAGCATCCCCTTTTTAATTGGTTTGTACTGTTGTCATGGTGCAATATGGCCTCTGGAGACTGTCCAGGGTCTCGGAGACAGTGCTGTCTGTAGATAGATCGGCAGTCAATCAAGTCAGTAGGTCAGTGTGGTCTCTGATGGTCAGTCAGGCTTTGTTAGGGAAGGTTGTCCCTGGACAATGGTAATTGGGAATTCAGGACCATGCTTGAATGTTAGCAAAGGATCAGTTTCCTTGCACTGAGGAATTCTGGAAGGTCAAACGTTGGACGGGGTATCTTGCATAATCCTGCCTTAATTAAACTTTGTTAAATTATTTTTCAGATCAACATTCATTGGTTTTGAAAAAAGAGATTGTACTTCAAATATATAATTTTTGTAAGTGAAATGTCAACAATGGTCCTAAACAATAGATGATCTGTTTCCAGTGACAGTCCCATGATCAATCATAATTAAATAATCATATTCAACACTGACAACAGTGATCAACCATGAACAACTGTCTCAAAATACAAAACAAAATCAGATATTGTATAATTCAAGTGAAAATGTTTTTATTGATAATTTGCTGCTGTATGGTAATACATGTAACTGATGAGAACATTAATTAACAATACCGTATTCGACGTAATAAGCGCCTTGCTCTAATAAGCGCCCACGGCTGTATTTGCTAATATATTTGCTAGTGAACAATCCCAATTAGCCACCCTTCCGATTGATCAATGTTCACAAGACATATTAATTCGCGTACAATACACACTCGTGTGTTATATGCACCCTTAATTATGGGCAATCAAATTCTAGAAAAATATATCTGTCGTACATAAACATTTCAGGCTGTCGGCATAAACAACGAAATGTATTTTTCAACTCTGTTTTTTTTCACCAAAATAATATTCTAATAAGAGCCCCCTATTTCTAATTTTGAGAGAGTCCTGGGCGCTTATTGCGTTGATAACGGCAACAACAATCATGAGCATGACTTGCAACATAGCATGATGAGTAAACCCTTGAAAATTTCCACAATAAAATAATCCTAGCAGGGCTTGTTAAACTGTTATGAGCATAAGTTTCAAATAAATATGAAAAAATTAACATATACCATATGTCATTATTGGGGATGACAATTATATGTAACTTGTAAGGTGTTGTGATGTGTGATTATGTTGTGTGGTGTCTATGTTGACGAATGCACATATCAGCCGTATTAACATATGTTCACATTACAGTGTTAGATTTTATTACTATTGACAGCTGTTGTCCTTGTGTGTAGCAAGTCTGTGATAGACTCATTAGTACTGCTCTTCGGTATACACTCATTAGTACAGCTCAGCGTAAGGCCATCTGGGAGGACAGGGGTAACAATCTCACTCTTCTTACCAAGCCAACAGTGTTAATTGGTTCTATTGAAACTACACAGACTGGCACTATTGCATATGTCATAACAGTTGTGCTGCTTGTAGGTTATACAGTTGGAGCAAGGCATGTGATACATGGTTATACAGTTGGAGCATTAGGCATGTGATACATGGTTATACAGTTGGAGCAAGGCATGTGATACATGGTTATACAGTTGGAGCATTAGGCATGTGATACATTGCAGCCATGCTCCAATATTTTAGGCATACCGGGTGTGTTTCTATATGAGTCCTCAGGTAATCATATTGAAACACTGGATTCTCAAAGCGTGGAATTCCAGTTTGGGTTTTGGAAAGGTAAACCTGGGCTATATCTCATTTTAAAATTTTCATGGAGATGTGGCTTACAGGGAATGTATTTACACCTTTGCTTGTTTAGCAGGGTGTGGAGTCATCCCACAGATGACATCCTTACCTTGTCAGCTTGCTGACGGGGTTAACCTCTTTGGTCATGTGGACAAGGCATCCGACCTCAGATCAGAAGGTCCGTGGTTCGAATCCCATCACGGGACTCGGAAATTTTATGGCCGCTACACATGATTAAATGTCACAATTACGGGGTTTTGTGTTGAAAGCTGGTCACCGGAAACATCCTCATTGCTGTTAATACCATGACAAAGATAGCTCCAGCTAACGTAATAATGACAACTAAAGAACTTTGTCACTTCCCAGGAGGAAAGTGTTATGAGGACTTCGTAGTGGTGATCACAAGACACAAGAGACTGTTTCCTGTTAATTTGTTAGTCTGGTGAACATTCCCTGTTAAGTGACAAGCTCATCTAACTGGACCATAAAACTACTAGATACAGGCCTGATTATAGTGATTATAGTGGATGGCTGTGTCATTGCTGACGAAGCAAAAAACATCTTCATTCTACAGTACATGACTGATGACTTGTAAGATCTTCATGGATGATTAACCAACATTACTTTGTCAGACATACTTTACTCTATCAAACCTTACCTATTTTATTATAAATGTTCAAATATTAAAGTATTGGTTGTCTTGTGGTACAGCTCTTGTAAATCAGTGTGTATCGGCATTAAGATACTGTTTGCTATAAAGTTACAACGCTACTTCTGACAACAGTGTCAACCCCACACCCACTCCTTGTTAATGCAAAGGTGTGTATGGTAGTCCTTTGCTATAGTATTATGCTAATAAGAAAACATTGTTGAGTCTTATGTCTGTTAATTATCGATATGTTTTCAAGTAAATCCATTTCTTTCTTTCAGTTAAGCTGCCATCATGTCGTCCGTCAAAGTAGCAGTGAGGGTTCGTCCCTTCAACAGCAGAGAGATTTCCAGGGATGCTGAGTGCATCATTAATATGCAGGGAAACACTACCGGTAGGAGTTACCTCCTATTTTTTTAAGACGAAATTTGTGATGGAGTTAATTTCTTGAAATTCAAACATAATATATATGTAGTTGATATAATTTGATATTATTTTTCTATTGGTTGATTTTGTGAGTGAGTGAGTGAGTATGGTTTTACGCCGCTTTTAGCAATATATGCGATATCACGGCAGGGGACACCTTAAATGGGGTTGATTTTGTGAATGTAGATCAGTCAGATCATTGTGTGCAGTATTTTCTTGCCATTGCCTTGTGAGGGAAATCAGTGCAGAATATGTGTCACTGTGTGTAACTCAATCTGGTTCCATGAGGGGCGGTCGGGTAGCCTAGTGGTTAAAGCGTTCGCTCATCACGCCGAAGACCCGGGTTCGATTCCCGACATGGGTACAATGTGTGAAGCCCATTTCTGGTGTCCCCCGCCATGATATTGCTGGAATATTGCTAAAAGCGGCGTAAAACCATGCTCACTCACTCACTCACTGGTTCCATGAAGCGATGGAATGAGGATTGTGTGGTCAGAATGGTTGGTGAGAACCCTGAAAGCCATGTCCCGGACAGAAGTTGTCAGATAAATGGGTGATGGATGTTGGGATCACTGGGCCGTGACTTCAAAAGGCGCAACCTCCTGGATGGGTGCTGACACTATGTTTGCCAGACTTGTCAGACCCATGAAGATTCCGGGGTAGAATAGGTCTTCAGCAACCCATACTTGCCGTAAAAGGCGACTATGCTTGTCGTAAAAGGCGACTAACGGGATCGGGTGGTCAGGCCTGCTGACTTGGTTGATGCATGTCATCGATCCCAACTGCGTGGATGGATGCTCATGATATCAATCACTGGATTGTCTGGTCCAGACTCGATTATTTACAGACCACCGTCATATAGACAAACCAACCAACCAACCAACCAGACTTGTCACCTTGGAGCAGCAGACTAGTACTATCTGTTTCTATTGCAGTCATCACCCCACCTAAGGACAAGAGGGATGGGACTCCAAAGAGCTTCAACTTCGACTATTCCTACTGGTCACACACAAACGTAAGAATTTTTAGGATGTTGTGGTCACTGATTAAGTTTCAAATGTAAAGTATTGATGTTGCATTGACATAACATGATGATGGTGCTTATAATATGATAGCTAAGTCCCTTTGTTGATAGAAGTCACGGGTGAATTTAGAAAATCCTTGTTTTACGTTTGACGTCTTTTACCATTTGCAGTCATTTGATGCAAACTTTGATGGAGAATAACATATCAGCATCCATTAACACAGTATTCAGTCAAGCTGACAGTCTTTGTTTTCAATATGGATATTCTAATACCTGCTGATGGTTCTTCATAGTTGTAGCGACCCGTGAAGATTCTGGGGTAGAACAGGTCTTCAGCAACCGATGCATGCCGTAAAAGGCAACTGTGCTTGTTGTAAAAGGCGACTAACGGGATCGGGTGGTCAGGCTCTCTGACTTTGGTTGATACAAATGGCATATATTCCAAATGCGTGGATCGATGCTCATGATGTCAATCACTGGATTGTCTGGTCCAGATTCGATTATTTTACAGACCGCCATCATATAGCTGGAATATTGCTGAGTGCGGCGTTAAACAACAAACAAACAAACAAAATCACAGTTGTAGCACAATTGGCTGTATGGTCATGATGCTAACCTGATCAACCAATCAGGGAGCATGTCGAAAGTGTGATCGAAATCGAACCAAGGACGTAAACAGCACACTGCCATCAGTTGATTGGTCATACTCACAATGTTTACACTTTTAAAGCTATATTTAGTACTTGGTATGAATATGTGATCACCATTGATCTTCTATATATCAAGATCATGCAAGGCGTTCCAATTGGCTGTACAGAGTTGCGTGCCCTTGACATGCCAACCTATGATTGTGGGTTTGAATCCCGGTTTGCCCTGATTATGTTTCCAGGTTTGTCAGCACCATACCCGTACTCGTGGGTTTCACCAAAGTGGTAAATGTCTGAGACCGGGATCACTTTCCTCCCACATTAAGCTAACGCCCCATGATACACCTGGAATGCTGTTCAAAGTGGCATTAAACCCAACTCACTCACTTACGCTAAATACCAAGGTTGTACAAGTACAACTGAAGCTTATTTTATTGTTTGTCCAGCGATCTGACACAACAAGTCGGGCAAGTTGGGAATTGATTGACCCTTGATTTGGTCCTTGGTAGAAGCTGGTCCTGTCATCATGACACGATGGCATGGACTGTGCTCATGCAGTCAACAACTGGTTTGTCTGGTCTGGACTCATTTACAGGGAGACCCTGTTGGTCTGTTAAGAAGCTTTTCAGGAACATCTTCAACAATTCAAAGCAACATAACTCACTTACAGTGATACATTTATCAGGACATTTAATCCTGACAAGTTCACGGGGAAAGAGACAAACCAGATGAACAGTTTCACTGTATTCAAGAGGCTGCTCTGGGATATGGCTGAAATATTGTCAACTGAGGCATAAAATATACTTATTTCACTCAAACATATTCTGCTCTGAATGGTGTTGGTTAAATCTTAAACTTGGTCCTCCATGTGAAGGGGATGAACAGGTAAAATAGATATTCCAATCTCATTAAAATCAGACCTTAGTTTTCGCTATCTGAGGACATCCCATTAGGGGTCACGTCAGAACGACCTTTCATCCTACCAATCAGAGCGTCGCTTACCAGATCATGAAAGTGACAGTCGGAATGTTATTTCTAATCATGCAACCTCGAAAACTTTAACACGGGGTATTCCGAACGATAGTTACGAGTTTAACGACTGAATCCATACAATCTAGACTATCTATTAGCCATTCCAACACTTTCTTTTGTTCAGGTTTCAAATTTTAAATCGAGAATTTGTCAAAATATGTTTTGAAGCGTAGTCGACAATTTGAAATTAGTGCCATAAAGCAAGAGAAAGCTGTCTTCTGATTTGTTATTCCATTTGTCGGTCAAAGTTCACGCAAGGTCGGTCTGACATGACCCGTACTGGGATGTCCTCAGATCTTTGTTTAGCGGTAACGAGAACTAAGAACTGGTTTTAATGAGATTGTAAATATTCCGAACTGTTGGACCATTAGCCTTGTTATTGTACCTGGAGTGCTGTTCAGCCCCGAGATGATGATGCTCCTGCTGCACAGAGTTGGTGTAGGAAGTTGCAAAGTCTGTGTGGGAGAATTATTTGTTATAAAACATAATCCCAAACTTCCTCAACATGGATGGAGGCCTGGTGATTGAGTTCAACTGTTTGAAGCCAAGTGATTCATAGCCTCCTGAGCACAACTCTGGAAAACATGCAGGGGATCTGACTCATGCTTGTCGATTTGACATCCTACAAGAAAATGTCAAAGGCTAAGAATAGAATAGAATATGTTTTTGCTATGATTGATGAGATCCAAATCAATTCTTTTATTCATGTTGACTTTGAAAATAAGTTGTGGATTATAATGATACCATTACAAGCACAGACCTTATGGTTAATTATTTTATATAAGGCTGCAAATATACTGTTGTCCTAATGTATAGTATAGTTCCAGTGTTAATCTGAATGACAAGTTTCATTTTGCTTACTGTTGACCTGTGGTGGGTCTAGACCAGTCTCAAGTTTCAAATAGATACAGTGTCACAGATACAGTGTCACAGATACAGTGTCACAGTGCAGAGTCAGCATAACCCACTTCCATAGCTTCTTTATAATTTGTAGGCGACTATGCTTGTCGTAAAAGGCGACTTATGGGATCGGGTGGTCAGGCTCGCTGACTTGGTTGATGCATGTCATTGATCCCAATTGCGTGGATCGATGCTCATGATATAATCACTGGATTGTCTGGTCCAGACTCGATTATTTACAGCCGCCGTCATATAGCTGGAATATTGCTGAGTGCAGGGTTAAACCACAAACCAACAAAACTTTTTAATTTGTAACTCACACTCAGGGTTTTTATTCAGGATTCTTAGTTAAGTGCCACTGACTGGCAGGCAAAGTGGAAAAATCATTATTTTGTTCAAAATTGTTTTTTTTTAGTAGTTCATATTTTCCGAAATTCAGAGGTTTTCATGCAATAATTTAAAACAAAGCTTTAAAACTTGTTCCTCTTTGTTGGTCTTAAAATTGTTATAAGTGAATACAGGTTACTTCTTCATAACCGTATAATTAGTTATTGGCTGTATATATATATATATATAGCCAATAACTAACTAACACACACAGCAACATAAATTGGAAGTTTTTAATTCCAAATTGGGAATTTGTAATGATGTTTGCTGCAGACTTGGGGCCGATGATCAGCCTCAGAGTAGGTTTAGATAAATGCCTGCACACTGGGCTCTGGTTGGTGTAGTCCATGCTCATTTAGACCACAGCTGTAATATTACTGACAACACCATAACCCCCACTTTTACCTCCTGCCTCTACGTATTTTCGTCACTGGTGCTGGGCTCTGTTCCTCAAAGCGATCTTAGCGCTAAGGTGATCATAAGTCCCATACCTTAACACAGGCTTATGATCATCGTAGTGCTAAGATTGCTTTGAGGAACGGGGTCCTGGAAATTATGAAAAATCTATAATATCGGGGATAAACTAATTTGATATACAAGTAAAGCATCTCGTGGAATACTTCTTATTACCTCCACATCCATTATTTCAAGACAAAGCCATGCTGATCATCAGCTCCGTGCACTGTGAGACACGCTAAGACGCAAGTATTGATTAGCTTGGCTTCCATGTAGGTAGGCCAGGACAGGACGTGATTATTGAGTACATGGTATCCACTGAGCTTTCCTCTGCTTCGCTTTGATTTATTCATCAACCGGCTGTTTTCATCTTTTTCAGCATTATTATTTGATTTGTTTATGCACAGTTGCTGTTGCTTGTTCCGATGTCTGAATTTGAACGTGATAAGAGTAGCCAGGTCAGACTACTAAGTCATCTAATTGAGGAATATTTATATTTTTGGTACAAGCTGTGTTGGTAGGATGTTGTAGACTGGGTGAATCAGGCTGTAGACCATAGCTCACACGATTAAATCGTGGATAACATTTCATTTCGACACTAACTGTGATTTCCATTTTGACAAAATTAGCTTTCGAAATGCACACCAGCCTCAATGACTTTTAAATTCGGCAGAGACATTGTAAGGAAGAAACAGTGATGGTAGTCCTTAACGAGTTTCGCACCAGTCCTTGAGATGAGTCTTTAAAAACAGATTTCTAAAGCTGCATTATTATCACCAAATTATAAATCCATCGTCATGCAACAGTATCTGAAAATTGAACTTAATGGTATGATAGATGATATACATCGTCAGGTGTAATTATTTATCTTGTTTCACAACTTGGTATCATCTGCAAATTAGACATGTTATATTTCTTCAAACTGATTCTGATCAACTTTTGGGTGATATCGTTAAACACTGATTATTTGGTCGTGTCCTGAGGTAACAGCTCCATTTTGAACATTGACAAGTTTAGAAATTAAATCAAATTTTGTTTTTCTCTTATAAAAAATGTGAATACATTAAAAAAATAGATCATGAGTGATTTGCAAAGGTTTTTGACAGCATATTGAAGAAGCAAATTAAGCATTGTGAATATTGGAATAAAGTTGATCAAAGGTACTTGCTTGATGAGAAAATAAAATGAAAACGTTATGTTCAGTATGCGACTCTAACCACTAGTCCAAAAACAGTAAGATCTTTTGAAAATAATACCAAGATGCAAGTTTGGTCAAGTAGACTGGATATAAGCAGCACAGTACACTGACCCAGTGAAATTATGTGATTCGCAGTGCATGGCAACATTAGACAACAGAAACACAAGTATCGAATTATCCAATTTTGATACAAGAAACATTTCCTTTTGCTTGATTTTGAACAGACAGATATGAATTTCCAACTTTGAATTTTAGCAACAGTTTCACAGCCATGGTAGCAAAAGCCAAACTTCAGAAAAATAAGCTGTAAACCCTTTTTAGGGCTATTTAGAAGTGGCATTAATCACATCCCTGACTGCAATAGAAATAAACCCTTATGAATTTGTATCCATCTCATAGAATACACTTAGAAAACTAAACATGCTTAACGAACTTTAGCTCTTTGTGTAAAAAAAGGCAAATTCTGCAATTGTAAGAGAGAAAGGTGACTTCCACAATTGTTGTGCAAAATAGGTGAATTGTTGAATTGTTGGAAAAATAGGAGACATTTTTCAATTGTTGCGCAGAATAAGTGAATTCTGCAAAAGTTATGCAAAATAGGTGAATTCTGCATTGGTGTACAAATGTCAGAAAGGTTGAAATTTTGGGGCGGAAGAGGTGAATTGCTGTGCAAAATAGGTTAAATCTGCAATAGTTGTACAAATAGGTGCATTCTGCAAGTTGTGCAAAGCATGCAGGTAAATTCTGCAATGGTTGTGCAAAAAGGTGAATTCTGCAACCGTTGTGCAAAATAGGTGAATTCTGCAGACAAGAAAGGGCTCTGCAAATGTGTCCACGATCAATGGATAATCGATTTATGAGGAGTTTGATACGTTATCACTTGTTCAATTTCCTTTCATTATTTGTTTGACATGGAGTCATCTGTAAGAACTGTAGGCCTATGAAGCCATGTTGTTTATTTGAATAGTGTAAACAGCAAAGTCCTGACAGTGAGATCAAGGTACCCACAGTTGTAGTCAATACAACCCATATACTGTCAGCTGTTTCATCCTACGGAAACAAGGCTGCCACACCATTCACTATGTTCTTCTTTGTTTCAGGCAAATGACCCGATGTTTGCATCACAGAACAAGGTGTACGAGGACATTGGTCTGGAGATGTTGGACCATGCGTTCGAAGGCTACAATGTGTGTATCTTTGCATATGGCCAGACTGGGTCGGGGAAGAGCTACACCATGATGGGCAAGAATGAGCCGGGGCAACAGGGGATCATTCCTCAGGTTAGTTCGCAGTTGTTGCTGTCATTCAATATGCACGTTGGTTCGCAGTGGAAGACTAAACTAAACTAAACTAAACTAAACTAAACATGAACTTACCTTGCAATAAACTAAACGTGAAATCCCCTTGTAATCAACTAAACGTGAAATCCCCTTGTAATGTAATGAACAATGAAAATGTAATAAGATAAAATGAAATGGATTCGAAACTTAAAGTGAAGTTGCCGTATGTTAACAATGTAAATGGGTAACTCTCTCAACTATTTCTAATCTATTCTATTCTATTTCTGTACTATTCTAATTCACTATTTTGTAACTTAGAGAGAGATATCCATTTACTACTTGCCCACATGAACGCCAAAAGCCAACTGAAATAAACTGTGTCTAGAGCATGCGCATTTTGCGCTCATCCAGCAATAAGCACGTGCTGCATGCCAACTTAAACGCTTTCCGCAAAGCTGTTGTGTACCCATGAATCAACCACTGTGTCCAGGAACATGACACTTGTTCCCGGACACTGTTCCTGGATGCTTTTTCCTGGACGCTTCAGAACACACGTCAAAATATCATTTCATTCCAGTAACTTGATAAAAGTTACAAGTTTCGAAGCAGGAACATCTTTTGTGATAATTTTCTTTAAAGGTCTCTGAAATTGAGATACACTGCACTGGAAATGAAAAGAATCTTCACTTTTTGTTTGGTTGACATCTTTAATAAAATATTTCTGTGTTTTCCTGCGTATTGAAGATATATCATTTATGTGATTTTTTAAAATATCTGAGTGTTGCAGCCAGATTTAACCAGTCTCTCAAGAGAACAGTTCAAAATTTGTGGATTTCTTTTGCAGCTTTGTGATGATTTATTCCAACGGATCAGGAAGAATGAGAGTGAGGATGTTCACTTCTCAGTTGAGGTGAGTCTTGTGTCAGGTAGTGCTAGTATCTCCACTCATCCTGGGTCAGGTTGTAGCTGTGGTTGGTGGGTGTGTCTTGGACCCCGGAAGGAGGTCCGTCTCAGCCTGGCTGGGTTATTGTCCTCACTCCCTGACAGACCGCCTCCGTGGTCTTGTGGTAGAGCGTCCGCCCGGAGACCGGAAGGTCCGGGGTTCGATCCCCGGCCGCGTCATACCAAAAGACGTTAAAAGATGGTACTTGTTGTTACCCTGTCTGGCGCTCGGCATTAAGGGGCTAAAACAAGGACTGGTCGGCTCGGAGTCCGTATACTGTGTCTGAGTGGGGTATTCATGTTAAACTGCGTCATGGTATCTCAGTGAGCTAGCACTATAAATCGGCATCAGTCCGGACTAGTACAAGCAGCCACACAAACACACACACGTACATGCACGTCGCTATATAAGTGCAATAATCTTGGACGCGACGTTAAACCCAATTTCACCTCACCTCACCTCACTCCCTGACAACATGGCGTGAGGATGTCTCTCTTAATGTGAGAAAACAAATTAAAGATATGTTGAAATATAATGAAGATATGTTTTTATGTACCCATTGACCACTTGTTAGAGATGTGTGACCAGCATCACAGGTCATCATGGCCATGTTTCTTGCCTAATATAAGTCAAAGACATTCGACTTAAGCTTTCACATGATACATACTGCAACACAGAGCTCCAGATAACTTTTTGAGCAATTGAGTTTTTAATCAAGGGTTACTATTCTAATTGGGTTATTGTATTTTTCATTGGGTAACCAATATTTTTTCACTCATCTATTCATCACTCTATTGTTGTTTTTTCCAAAATTAATGAACATTTTAAGATTTTAAGAAATGAAATAATGTTTTAGATATAACTGTTCTAAATATATAGGCTTGACCCGGAAAGTAAATTAGCTTGTAATTGTGTTTCGGAAATTAGCTCCTTTGTCTGCATTCTGAAAAAGCTTCATTGGGTATTTACTTGTGCTGTTTTTATACATTTGAGTTTTTCTTTCAATACATGCGTTTCTGTACACAAGTTAATTGAAAGTAACTGGGTTTTGAATATATCTAAGGGGTAAATTACACAAATACGCTGCTTATCTGTAGCTCTGGTAACATGTCTGTGTATGTGTGTTAAACATATGGGGATGTTTGTGCACCATTGGTTAATTGGACATGAAATGATTTATTCATTGTCACACAGTGATAGGATGATATGAGCTGATTTAGGCTGATCACTGCCCTGGTCTCCGTGCATAGGGGTCTCTACAAACTGTCCATACCTCACTGTTTAACTATAGTCTTTTTAATTAGGGCTGTGTATTGACCTGGATTTTGTATTGCAATATATTGCCTTACTTTAACCTGTATTGCGATTTGCATTGCAATATACTGCCAATTTACATTTTCATGAGTTAATCAGAGTTATACCCTGTATTAATGTCAGATACCATCAGTCAGTGTCCCTCACTATTTTTCCATTTCAGTGAATAAATGTATGATAAAGAGATTAAAGAATAAAAACAAAACAAGAGGAGCTTGATAGTCGCGATGTGTACATGCTAATTGATAAAAAGAATGTCAGAGGCAAATTGTATCAGAAAGATATTATTTCTCCATATCGATTAGGAACACATAAATATACTTATTTATATTTTCCCCAATATATTGCTACATTTACAAACATATTGCAAGACGTATTGCTGAAGATTTGCACCCCAATATACCGTTGTACCGGTAATACCGAACACCCTTATTTTTGAAAATTTATTCATGTTAATATTGACAGAATATAAAGTGGGATTTTTATAACTCTACTTATATCTGGTCGGCGGAATAAAAAAACTAACACTCTGCTTATAATTTAGATTATATTTTATCACATTTCAACGTTTAGGAGTCGGCAGATTCCTAAACCAAGTTCAAAGTCTGGCCTAAACTGCATTTTGAAGACAGGATTGACTTAATGATTTCAACCTGTGTCATAAGAAGTTGAAATCCACAAGTCAATCCTGTCTTCATTTGATGCTACAGCTTTCTCATGCCACTAACAGATGTAAGGCTGCATTATTTTCATGAAACACTTATGCTTATTATGTATAATTTAAAAAAGGAAAGTGTCTGGTTTGATAACTGACTGCTGGTAATTGTAATTAGAACTTATCCCAACGATTTAATGAATTAAAATATAAAAAAATACTACACGTCACAAATAGAATCTATATATTTTTTAAAGGTGTAAATAAGTTATTGAAAAGAACACTTATCAAGAGACTGTTCCATGCAGTTGGGGTAGCCTAGTGGTTAAAGCGTTGGCTCGTCAAGCCGAAGACCCGGGTTCGATTCCCCACATGGGTACATTGTGTGAAGCCCATTTTTCGGTGTCCCCCGCCGTGATATTGCTGGAATATTGCTAAAAGCGGCGTAAAACCATACTCTCTCACTCACTCTATGCAGTTGGCTCAACATTATCATCATTACAAGGGTATTTAGGCCTAGTTTACATGAGGATCAGTGTTCTGTAAACCACACAATAAATCTATCTTCAGAGTACAACCAGCAGATTAGAAACAAGATTCTCTGTAGACAGAGTTCTAAATTCCCTAGCTTATGTCAAACAAAGAAGAGTTTTGTGTGTAAACTGATTCCTTTGCACTGGTAATTTGTTGTGACCTGCTCTCACAACCTTCTACTTAAACCAGCTCCATCATGTCCATGCCTTGTTATCCTTTGCAAGGATATTTTCTCACTTGATCCCTTTCCATATTTTTTTATCCGAAGGAACATTCGGGTTAAGTCTCCAACAAATTTTAATGCCTCATTTTCACTGAACCAAACATTTCAACCTGATCAGTGCTAATGTGTCCATTTCCAAAAGCATTCCGTGTAGAGACTCAGAATGCCAAATAACAGCCATCAATATACTGTCACCAGAGGGCGCCGCTCATCGGAATGTTTATTGATTTGTTCGTTACTTGCCACGTGAAATCGTTAATATGGTGAGTTGTCAGTATCTTGGCTTAAAGGCTGGATGCCCAAAATAACTCCCCATTTCAGCCAAATGAACCCTATCAAGGCAGAAGAGATCTATGGCGAATGGGCATTATGGGAAAGGGGTTGACGAGCTTTGATCATGCTGATGATGTTCGTTGTGATTATCAATGATGCTACAAGAATGTGTTGTTATTATTCCAGAAGCATTGACTTTCTTGTTGCTACTTTTCAAGGTGTTTGAGCTGCTCTTTCTGTTTGACTAAGAGCACTTCACCTCCTGGAATAGAAAAGAAATAGATTGTGTTTAAGTCTTTATAAAATGGATTTTTTCTTCTTAACGAGAAATTTAAAAAAAATGAATTCAAAATGGAAATAACTGCAAAAGTAATTTCATGAATATTCGAATATAACTATGAATCTTTTTCAAAACTCCATTGACAAGTTTCTACAATAAAAAGGCTGATTCAAAATTAACATAGGTCTGCTGATCTGAGACAAGTTAAATGCCCAATGGGCAAGTGACAATTCCTTGTGAACTATCACTTTTGCCATTAAATAGATGGCAACTTTGTTGTGGAAAATAAAATTGAATTTCTAAGCCTTTTTATGATCATAAATAGAATCAGGCAATTTTGAGATGGTGAAGATTATTAGCAATTTCATTCAGCCTTAACTATATTCAGATTAAAGTACATCCTTCCATACTTGTGAATAAGGCAGGCTATGTTGATGAGTAAATCATTACGGCAGCAATATTACAGAGTTCATCACTTCAACCAGGATGTTTTTCCCTAAAAGGATCCATGTGTTATTTCTGTTCTGATTCAACAACATCTGTTATTCTGATCAATACAGCAAATTTGACACTATGTACGAGCGTACGTGTGAGCAATTATTTATTGTGTATAACCTACGCCTAATAACACCACCCAACCATGGCTTAGATCCAGATTCTGCATCAGCAAATGAAGGGGTTTAAACTGATGAATTGGTTTCCATGGTAACGCCATTACTGCCAGCGATGTGATTACTTGAATCTCTCAAAATACTCCATTCTCCAAGCATCAAATAATAAGATTTTAGAACACCTCGATATTCCTACCAATCAATTTCATTATAAGAGGGAAATGAGAGACTGCTCACACAAACAACATTGTCCGTTTCGTCGTCACTGCTGCAAAGATTTGCGTCAGACGAGGCAGATTGTTAGTTTAGGCATGGCTTCTGGACCATATATGGATGTAATGATGCTGTAAGAGAACAAGATGGATGCTTGATAGACCTGTCGCTCATTGGAGCACGGTCACTCTTCGGGGGGAAAAAATCAATAATCTCACCTGCTACATAGTACCCTTGTAAGTGAAGAGCTCTTGCTTTTCTCGTGGTTCCGAGATTGGCCAAAATTTGTGGAGGCGGAGAGCTTGCCTTCAGGGAATATTTACCTTCGATCACTTGACCTTTCAAGAGATTGTTATGAACCGGCTAAATGTAGTAATTTATAGTGACGTAGGATTAAGGCATTATGCAAGTTTGAAAAAAAGAAAAACGATTTGATTAAACTGTTGAATAATACTACGTTTGAAAACATTACGTAAAGTGGCATTTTACAAGCTGTAGTATTGATGAAGACAGAGTTGAGTTACAGATTTTAACTTCTTTGTTTTTTCAATGCGACGTTTTGGTACAGATGCTGTTCCTTTATCAAGCCAGCGACACTCAAATTAAATGAACTCAATTAAAGTGAGAACCACTTCAGTATTTGACAAATACGCTGGCCCACTGGACAAATACCAGTAGATATTAATCAGGACCATTAACGTAATCAGAGAGATCTAAATGGCTAATAGGAAATATTAAATGTCCGTTGCCTGTTGATTTTTTCCTCATAGTTTAACAGAATGAATATGATAAATAAACTGAAATTGTTTTATAGTTGTCTGGAAAATTACAGATTTTGAAATTGTGGAACAAGACTGTTTCTGTAGCATCTGTGCTATTAGCTACATGATTATATTTACCATTGAGAAGAGTAAAGACAAATCTGTTTTTGGTCTGTCAGTATAGCATCTTTTATTACCACGATTTCATCACATTTATAACTGCCAGGTAAACTTGAATGTGGAGTATTTTCCAAATATATTCTGGCCTTTAAATTGAACATAATACAGTAAACTACGCTTATAACGAACACCTTTATAACAAACTGACCTATATGACGAACTTATTTTTTAGTCCCGGTCATTTTGTTGTATATATGTTGTATATATGCTTATAACAAACTACGGTTATTATGAACTAAAATTAGTGGTCCCTTTGAATAGTATCGAGGGCCATTGTGACATCATCGGTTACCATGACATTATCAAATGACATTACTAATCTCTGCCACTGAAGCTGGTTATCTGTCCTTTGTACACTCAAGACATTGGTATTACTGTCCACAAACTAAAAAGTAGGAACAATGATTTTGGATGATAAATAGAACACTCCGAGTTTGAAACATTTTATGACACATTGATATGAAAAGGCATAAGAGGGAGATACGCTATATATTGGACTGTAGCTGCAGTTCGAAGTTAAATTGTCTGAGTGATATTCAGAACATAAAAAGTCAAGTTGATTAACAAATATATCAACTTTGCAATGTTTTCTTTTGTCTTCAATATTCTGATATGGAAACTCAGTCCATGAAATCAGTACAACATTTTGTCTTGGATGAAGACTTTGGTTTGGTTTTTATGGATAAGGGTCTTTGAAACACACAGTGTTAAAACTGTTTCTTGCTAAACATAGCCACAGGCACTCAGACTGATTAGGCTTAAGATATGCACATTCTTTTCTTGAAGGAAATGAAGAAAGTACAAAGTTAATGGGTTTGAAAATAAAAGTAATTATAAGCTTTGATTTTAGAAATCATGGAAACACTGGTTAATGGTTGACATGTATGATATTTCTTTTGAAAGGTATAGATTTTCATGTGTGAACTGGGGGCATGGGTGGCCCAGTCGTCTAAGGCGCCGTGATTCGCTGTGCAGAGTTGCGTCCCTTGGGCATGCCAGAAACCTATGATTGTGGGTTCAAATCCCGGTTCGCCCCGATTATGTTTCTAGGGTTGTCAGCACCATACCCGTCCTCGTGGGTTTCACCGAAGTGGTAAACGTCTGAGACCTGCATCACTTCGGGCTTTCCTCCCACATTAAGCTGACAAGCTGCGATATAACTGGAATACTGTTAAAAGCGGCGTTAAACCAAACACACTCACTCACTAAAGTGTGAACTATGATTTATTTTTTAAAACAATAATTGAATGCAATGAAAAGATGCAGTTACGTTGATGTTCTACTTGTTATAGTTGGTACAAGTTTAGAAATCTTACTTCATATAATAGAAATGTTTTTTCTCCTTCTTTTGATGCAGAGATAATATAAATTTGTTTTGTGCAGGTGAGCTATATGGAAATCTACTGTGAGCGTGTGCGAGATCTCCTCAACCCAAGCAACAAGAACGCGCTGCGAGTCAGGGAACATCCATTGCTAGGACCCTACGTGGAGGATCTGTCGAAACTAGCTGTGCAGTCATTTGAGGACATTAAAAACCTCATTGATGAAGGAAACAAAGCAAGGTAAAACTTCATACGTACAGTAAACTTCTGTAGCAGTACCATATTTTCTTGAGTATAGTGCGCACCCCCCTCTAGCGGATTCAGTATTTTGGAGAAAAAAATTTGCTTATCAAGCGCAGAAAAAAATTACACCGTAGATCTACCCCTTCAGTGAAGTCCGGTAAAGGAACGGGTGATGAGAAACTTGGTCAGTACAAATTTGAAATTTGAGATTAGCAGTATGTAGTGATCTCTTGTAGCAATGCATACAGTCAATTGCTTAGCAGTACAGGGGACACAATCAAGTGTATCAACTTGGATTATTTCAAAATGTTTACCCCAACATGTGACTGCATAGACCCACTGTCAATACGTGTAATAAAACAACAGCAATTCATATTTTTACTTTAGAAATAAACAAGTAAATAATAACACTGCAGTGAGAAATAAACATGAAGGGCGCAGTTTGGTATTCTCACAATTTTCACATCGATTATCTGCACCTTTTCCCCCAAAACCGATTGTCATATCTCTCCCAATTTTGGGTGCCATCGTTCAGTCATTGGGTTCATCTCCACTGTCCAGCTACTTCTATAGGGAACAACTCACAACTTTAAATATGTCGTCCAGTTTATGATGTCATCATGTTTGAATCTCGAGAAATGACGTCATGAAAGAACAGTGTTAATAGGATCAACACTGTATAATATTTTACAGATTAATAGATGTAGATTCAGCATTAGGTCACTATGTGTGTTTCACAAAGCCAGTGAACTATCACAAGATTGTTTACACGATTTTCTGTCTACTCAAACAATCACATCATTGAAATCCCAGAAAATGAATATTGTCTGGAATTTTGAGTTAAACAATTCTAATAATCTGGAATCAGCTGATGTAAAAGGTGGGGCTGAAGTGATGCAGGATAGTATGAGGTTTGTTTTTGGTGATGGAAGATGAGGAGATGACTCTAATCGGATAGGACCACCTTTAGGACCATGGCCAAAAGTGTACCGGCAGAAGGTTTTTGAAGGATAGTTTGTCAATCCTTATTTTATCTTATCCTGACTCATACTTATTGCTTATCTCTCTCTCTTCCGAATAGGTAGTGGAAACGTCCTATGCTGTTCCCAAAGAACAGAGAAAACAGCTCACCCAAACGCAGAATAAGGGTGTGTTTGGGTGAGCTGTTTTCTCTGTTCTTTGGGAACAGCACAAGACGTTTCCACTACCTCTTCGGAAGAGAGAGAGATAAGCAATAAGTATGAGTCAGGATAAGTATAAATGATATTTTTACTTGAAAAAATACATGTTTGTGTCAATCATTTCAGAACTGTAGCTGCTACAAACATGAACGAGACCAGCAGTAGATCTCACGCTGTCTTCACCATCATATTCTCACAGCGCCGATATGACTCAACCACAAACATGATTGGAGAGAAGGTGGGTATTGTAAGGGCTGACAGTACTCTGTGCTTGTTGTGAGAGCTGACTAGGTCCCCAGTACTCCGTGCTTGTTGTGAGAGCTGACTAGGTCCCCAGTACTCCTTGCTTGTTGTAAGAGCTGACTAGGTCCCCAGTACTCCGTGCTTGTTGTGAGAGCTGACTAGGTCCCCATGGTACTCCGTGCTTGTTGTGAGAGCTGACTAGGTCCCCAGTACTCCGTGCTTGTGAGAGCTGACTGGGTCCCCAGTACTCCGTGCTTGTTGTGAGAGCTGACTAGGTCCCCAGTACTCCGTGCTTGTGAGAGCTGACTGGGTCCCCAGTACTCCGTGCTTGTTGTGAGAGCTGACTAGGTCCCCAGTACTCCGTGCTTGTGAGAGCTGACTGGGTCCCCAGTACTCCGTGCTTGTTGTGAGAGCTGACTAGGTCCCCAGTACTCCGTGCTTGTTGTGAGAGCTGACTTGGTCCCCAGAACTCCATGCTTGTTGTAAGAGCTTACTAGGTCCCCAGAACCTGTGCTTGTTGTTAGAGCTGACAAGGTCCCCAGTACTCCGTGCTTTTTGTGAGAGCTGACTAGGTCCCCAGTACTCCATGCTTGTTGTGAGAGCTCACTCAGATGCGGACTGGGTGGTTACAGTGTGTGATTTGGATGACTGTGTCGTCATACCCTGAAGCCATGGGGTGATGATCATGCTATCATCCAGTAATTTGCTTGGCTTAAGTTTAATTTAAATGTGATATAGCACTGACTGCAGGGGCTAAAACAGTATTCACTCATTTTTAACTCATGCCATAAAGTAGTGATGATACTTATGATGTTTTTTTTGTGTGCGAATGACTGTTGTGCAGATGTGGTTAGAATTTGAATGTGTCGTTAACTGGGATAAAATTATCTTTATTATACTCTTCATTGAAATGATAACTGTCTTTCTTAAATTCTTTCCATCAAATCTGTTTAGGTCAGCAAAATTTCCTTGGTTGACTTGGCTGGCAGTGAGAGAGCCGACTCAACAGGTGCAAAGGGAACTCGCTTGAAGGAGGGCGCCAACATCAACAAGTCCCTGACCACCCTGGGCAAGGTCATCTCGGCCCTGGCAGAAGTGGTAAGATGTGCTCATTTGTCTCCTGTGTCGCGAAATAGTTCACTTAAGAATTGACTTCAATAGTTTTGCGTTAATGGAGGTATGCCCGTGAGTTTCTCATTATGCATTCCAGGGGGGCACGGGTGGCCCAGTCGTCTAAGGCGCCGCGATTCACTGTGCAGAGTTGCGTCCCTTGGGCACGCCAGAAACCTATGATTGTGGGTTCGAATCCCGGTTCGCCCCGATTATGTTTCTAGGTTTGTCAGCACCATACCCGTGCTCGTGGGTTTCACCGAAGTGGTAAACGTCTGAGACCTGCATCACTTCGGGCATTCCTCCCACATTAAGCTGACACGCCGCGATATAACTGGAATACTGTTAAAAGCGGCGTTAGGCCAAACTCACTCACTCATTATGCATTCCAGTTTTAATGTTCTGAACTCCATAAATGCAAAAATATTATTGAAGTCAGTTCTTATAGTTAGATATGAAAAAATAAAATCATCTTTAATCCTGAACACAAACTACTGTAGACAATACGAAATCAGTGACATCGTTCGGATAATCCAATCCGGAAACAGTAGCCCATAAGTGGGTGTGGCCTAAATTGTTTGGGGGTTTATGGAAACATAAACACAACAAAAATTGATTGGTCAACCAATCAAATGCCACGGAATCACTAGCTGTTTATTTTTAAGAGTTTATGTCATTAGTGTTCTACAGAGACTGATAAATTGACTTTACTTTTTGTAATAACTGAGGACCTGTGAAGATATCCAGGGTAGAATAGGTCTTCAGCAAACCAATGCTTGCCTTAACAGGTGACTATGCTTGTCGTAAGAGGCGACTAACAGGATCAGGTGGTCAGGCTCGCTGACTTGGTTGATGCATGTCATCGTATCCCAATTGTGTGGATCGATGCTCATGATGTAAATTACTGGATTGTCTGGTCCAGACACTCTTATTTACAGACCACCGTCATATAGCTGGAATATTGCTGAGTGCGGCCTTGAACAACAAACAAACAAAACATCACTTAAAGTTGATAATTGTTGTTTGAACAACTTGTAGAAAAAATATGTAAGTTTGTATTGTCATTAAGAGGCGACTTACTGGATCAGGGGGCCAGACTAACTGACTTGGTTGATGATTTGTTAACATACCTGGATGGCGGGGATCATTGCTCACATCAGTCACTGTTTTGTGTGGTCCTGACCCTATTATTAACAGACTGACATCATATAGCTGGAATAGTACATCTTCCCGAGGCAAGAGAGTTAACTGACTTTAAAAGTCCAGTTTCCACCCTTGCCGATCTAGGCTGGAATTCCAGGGCTTGATCGTAGCGCCACCACTGGCTATTTGAAGTTATGTCCCTTATAAGCCTCTCCTATGGACCAATCAGATTCCACCTCTTGTATCACTTGCATTTGCTTCAAACAAAAGTCATGACGATCTGATTGATAATCAAGATCTATATTGTGATAACACGGGTCTTACATCGCGAAATGCATCAAATCACGTGAGCACCTTGATTAAAAACATGAAAAGATTTGGAAAAATTCTGTTGACAATGAGTTGGCGGTGCACATGCTTTGCAAATCCTGCAGTCGACCGAAATCTGTATGACAGTTTACGAAATGGATTTCGATTTAGTTGCGCGATTTTGATTAGACTATGCATAGACTCGTTAGTCCAGCCAAAATGTAACTAAAACATAATACCAGCCAAGTTCGGCACGGGTGGAAACTGGACTTTTGTAGTCAGTTAACTCTCTTGCCTCGGGAAGATTGGAATAGTACTGAGTGCTGTGTTACACCGACAAATAGGATGTCTGTAAAATACTGACTTTTATATTCTGGACCATTAGAGTTTGTGGAGTTCATTTGATAGGTATTTTCCTGAATCTTGCGTGAGAAGAGAATGTCTCCCATCCTGGTTCCTCTGGTAAAAAGGACTAATGATTTTTCTCTGTTTTCAGAGCGTCGCACCAGTAAGTGATGACTCAATGTGCAACATTGCCTTTTTTTCTTGTCATTCTTTTATTTTTGTTTCCATCATTTCATTTAGAGGATGCCTTCATTAAGCTGCATGTGACTAAATCAGCGTGGAGACAGGTGGAGAACTTCAGATTGGTTTCTAGTCTGAGACTTTTGAAAATTTGAAAGGACAAATAGTTTTCTTCTAAAATCTAGGAATATTCTATATATTATCAAGCAAGCTACGAGCCACGAATACCACCTGACTTATATATGTTGAAAACCACCAACACATATTTCCGGGCCGGAGTCTGGTGGGCGTTACATCTGTTATTACCCTATTACATAATGAAGTAATTGCCACTCCAAATTGCATTGAAATGTACTTCATTCAGGGTAGTGAAGATCTCGAGGGATTACTACCAGAGTGCAAATTGCTTCCAATATTTATGTCATTGTACACCATCATGCACTTGTGTTACTACATGCTGCTGAAGACCCATCACAAAGCCCGTAGGGAATATGTCCTAGATAGAATAGGTCTTCCTGCTAGGGCTTAATTGTCGTCATTCCCAGCGACAACTATTGATTATTTGGGGGCCACTGTGATATTGTGGCTATGTTGCCATCTGCATTGTGAAACCACATTAACCTGCAAATTATCAATTCATGGCCAACTCTTATCAAATAGAAAATTAGATTTAACAAAAAAATTCCAAAAGTGTCTCTGCTGTTAATGTGGTGTTTGGAAAAGGTACAGTCGAACCTCATTGTGTGGAACTCGTGAGGACCTGGGAGAAAGTTGGAGTTATCCGGGGTTCGAGACAGCAGGGGAATTTTATGCTTAAATTGGATGCTTTGGTCTCCCAAATGAATTCTATCCGGAGTTCGAGACAGCAGGGGAATTTTATGCTTAAATTGGATGCTTTGGTCTCCCAAATGAGTTTGAGACAACAGGGAATTTGACACAACGAGGTTCGACTGTTTTTCAAAGGACTAGTTTGTGAGAGATTTCTGTCTGGCACTTGCCTCAGTAGGCAAATCATGTTTCATTGTCATTATTTTCTTTTGTCTTTGTTTTTTGCTTTGTTGTAGAATCAGTGCTATTATACCTGCATTCATGCATGCCAGTATTTGTTTTAGTAATGAATTACATGTAGTCCTCTGTTCAGGACATTTGCTATTGAAGGCTGGAATGATTCATTGACACAACACAATATTATATTGAAGAACATCCTATTATTATTAGCATGACACATGACACTGCATATAAATAGTCTAAAACTGGCACAGGACCCAGTTCCACAAATAATCTTAGCAATTAGATGCTCGTAACTCCTTTAGCATTGACTTACGACTTAGTGTGACCTTCCACGGAGATCGCTTTGTGGAACGGGGCCCTGGTCAGCATTTCGGCTTTATGATATGAAGTTTATGTATTGGTGTTGTCTTAATATAGTATAATCATGACCTTGATATTAAAAGTGATTTGGGGAAAATGAATTTGTATTTGTCCCCTTGTGACATCAGGATTAGAATACATGTCTTGAGATTCACTGCATCATCATCTTCTGTTACATATCCCATGTTGCTGGATCATGACATTAGGGGGCAGTAGGGTAGCCTTGTGGTTAAAGCGTTCACTCAACACATCTGGGTTTGATTCCATGGTATGAGGGGGTCACGGGTAAGACGCCGCGATTCGCTTGGCAGAGTTGTGTCTCTTGGGCACGCCAGAAACCTTTGATTCTGGGTTCGAATCCCGGGTCGCCCCGATTATGTTTCTAGGTTTGTCAGCACCATACCCGTGCCCGTGGGTTTAACTGAAGTGGTAAACGTCTGAGACCTGCATCACTTCGGGCATTCCTCCCACATTAAGCTGACACGCCGCGATATAACTGGAATACTGTTAAAAGCGGCATGGAACCTGACTCACACACTCACTCACTCACTCACTCCATGGTATGATGTATGAAGCCTATGTTTAATCTTCCTGCCATGATGTAGTTGCAATATGTCTTAAAGTGGCGTCAAACTCTCTACTCATTCATGGCATATCTGAGCCAAGTTTGGTGTTCCTGCCATGATACAGCTGAAATAAGTCTTTAAGTGGCGTCAAACTGTCTACTCACTCGCATGGTAAATCTGGGACATTTGGTTATGACATTGTTTATGAATCTGTATCAGGCCAATAAGAAGAAGAAGAAGAGTGACTTCATCCCCTACAGAGACTCTGTCCTCACATGGCTGCTGAGAGAAAACTTGGGTGAGAAAAGCTATCCACTCTGATGCATGATACTGGTTCTTTGTAATGATATGGCTGTTGATGTTGATACTGAAAATGGGTAGCAGACTTTTGAGTATAGTCATAGACAAGGCCTCAGTCAACTCAATAGATCACTCAGAGTCCCCATTCAGGGAGCATCTGCTTCAAGTTTGTTCACAATGTCTGTTCCAGGTGGAAACTCCAAAACAGCCATGATTGCTGCTCTCAGTCCGGCTGACATCAACTTTGATGAAACCCTCAGTACACTCAGGTGAGTCGCATGTACACCTTGGAGGCCATTAACTGAGACCCACAGAGCTGTGGGAAAAGACAGAATCAATATTCTGTTACTTTGAAATTAGTTTGTTTGGAGTTTTCTTTTCAAACAGAAAGGGTTTACTTTGGAGTCTATTGATTCTGGTTGCCATGGTAACCATGTGAAATTTCACCCATGTGTCAATCAGTTTTGTTTAGAAAAGGTGGAATAATGTGGTAAGGATTATAATAAAATAATTAAATATTTGTTTTTGTGTGTGAATTTGGTTACTTTTATGAAGTAAGTAATCCAAAAATTTAACTGGTTTAATAAGGATAGATATGTGGGTAATTTTATGTTATTTTTAATTTATTTTGTTGGGGGTCTATCTAACATGCAGAAGGGGATATGTAGTCAGTTATATGTATATATTTGACCATCCTTCATGTGCAACATTATACAACAGTTCTCTCACAGAATTACTTTCAAAAATAATTGTTTTAAGTCTTGTCTAATGCTTCATTAAATATACTTCAGGTTGAATTTGCTCTTTTGCATCACTCCAGATATGCTGATCGTGCCAAACAGATTATGTGCAAGGCCGTGGTTAACGAGGATCCGAATGCACGGTTGATCCGAGAGTTGAAGGAAGAGGTAGCAAGGCTGAGAGAACTCTTGGCTAGCGAGGGCATTGAGATACAAGCAGGTGGGTAGAGTTGTCTCCGTTTAGTATCAGATGTATCTAACGTTCAGTATCTGAGTTGATCCATATGAAGACTATATGTTTACTTTTGAAAATTGTTAATAGTTTCTATGAAGTTACTAATAAAGATATAATTATTTATGAACACGGTATCTAAACATTGTTTGTCTTATCTCATGGCAGACTATTTCAATTCTTGTGATTTTTTTTGAGCATTTCTATTGTAAAACTATTACTTTTTACCTCTTTTTCCCCAGTTGATACAAATTCTGACAATCCCGTGAAGTTTACAACGGGTAAATTGCACCCTACAGCACTCTCCCACATGGCAAATAGACCTGTGAAGTCCACTCCCTCTGTAGCAACTTTTGATGGGCATTCAAAGACATGGGGGATAAGCCTAAGAATTTATGCCAATTTATCTAACTGTTTAGATAGGTCTTGTAAAGAATCTTAAATCTTTGTTATCTCTACCATACATTCATAAGCTAAATATATTAATATTCAATTTATTATATTAATTAATAATTGTAGTGTTAAGATTGCATTGTTTAACCCTTTTTTGGAAGATCTTTAAGAATTAATGGTTAAAGTGATGGAGGATAATTATTGACTATTGATTGAGTGGGGGCGGTCGGGTAGCCTAGTGGTTAAAGCGTTCGCTCGTCACGCCGAAGACCCGGGTTCGATTCCCGACATGGGCACAATGTGTGAAGCCCATTTCTGGTGTCCCCCGCCGTGATATTGCTGGAATATTGCTAAAAGCGGCGTAAAACCAAACTCACTCACTCACTCACTATTGATTGAGTGACAAACTAGGGCATATAGCGTAACACACGCATCCCATAGACTCTTAACAGACTCTAACATTGAAGTAAGCCCTCGGATTCCCCCAACACTGCAAGTGTTATTTAGTATCTGTAGCTTTGAAAAATACTCCATACAGTTGGGCGGCTCCATATTTAACCTGCTATGTTTTCCTTCCGAATCACTACCAGAGGTAGGGGACTTCACGCTTTTGCTTTCCATCTCGCAAAAAGCCACTAATTGCTGCAAACATGCCACCACCATTACTCTTGTCTAAGTTGCCTGCAGCAAAGTAGAACAAATTACTTTCTTAGTCAATAAAAGCCAGGCCTTCTTCCACAGAAAACAGTAAAACCCTGTAAATCAGGACAGTTGCGTTCCAAGTTAATTTGTACAGATTAACAGATTGCCGCAACAAAAGTTAAGGATCACCCGATTCTTCCATGTACAAACGGCTCATCGTCTATAACGCCCACCAATTATTTGGACACCATTGGTAGCATTGTAGCGAGGGACCACTGTATTTACAGTATTCATAGTCATATTCCTGGGGTTTCCAGATTATTGGGGTCAAGACTAATGAGGTTTTACTGTAACTATCTCAGATCTGCAGCTATGGTATGCCTGTATTTCAATACTGGAGTCCCAGCGGTTGAGTTCTCAGATAGCATTTTGGAAATGGCCTGTGCAAGAAGCTTTTAAGTTTTATCAAAATCTGACTGCTGTACTCATGTGGAGGGGAATACTGCAAACACATCAGACGCTTGTACCCTGTTCAAACTGCCTGCTACCTGGTGAAAGAACCCCATGTTAAACATGCTAGTCCTTTATGTGCAGCCAACATAGGATGTGAGGGCGGGAGGGAGTATTGCTTTACACTGTATCAGCAGTTCTGCAGCTATTTCATCATATTTCTGACAACTGGAGAATAGTATATTCATTGTTTACATTGATGTGGCTAAGTGCATGAATATTATAAAACAAACTGAAGCTTAACTTTGCTCACAATAGATCATTGCATGATAGTAACATTAGTGTTATGATGACGAAATAAAAATAAAATCTTGGAAATGCATTGTAAAACATGAACAAAATTAATATGCTTATATCTTTAATTGTTAAAACTGATCCCAATTTTGCCTTTCTAACATTGTTATATTCAGAGGAAGATACAATATTCAATGCTTTTCTTTAGGCCGTGTACTGAATGTATGCACATTTTCTCTGCTTTTTTGTAATGCTAGTCCTTTATGTAGGTAATGCCAGCATGTCCGAGCATGTGAAGGCCTTGCGGGCTCGGAAGAACTCGGTGACTATTGAGGGAGGGGAAGACGCAATGGAAAGACTCCAGATGTCGGAGAAACTTATTGCCGAACTTAATGAATCATGGGAAGAAAAACTCCGTAAAACAGAGGCCATTCGCAAAGAAAGGTAAGAGGTTGTTTTGGGTTGCTTTGGATCGAGGAAAGAAAGAAACATTTTTTGACAATTAATGGGGGGCAAAAGTTTCTAAAATGCAGCACAGAGGCATTTCACAAAGACCGCTGAGAGCCAGAGGTGTTGTAAAGCTAGTTTCAGACAACAATATCCTGAATATTATCAGGATATCAAGGTTCTGCTACTTAAAACAAGTTGAAGTGGAGTTTGACATCAGTAACTAGCAATACAATATTTGTATTCTTGTGCTACAGAGAAGCTGTGCTGGCCGAAATGGGAGTAGCCCTTAAAGAAGATGGTGGAACAATTGGTGTGTTTTCTCCCAAAAAGGTAAGTAGATGGACAATAGGCTGTTTTAGCCATAGTTTATATTTACATTGCCCCCTCTGGAAGTCCTAGAGCAATGTTTACCATGCAAGAATTGTACCTGAAATCACAAAGGCTGACTCAAACATGTAAAATGACGATCTTGTGTTTCCAATGTGTACTGGACCCGTGAAGATGCGGGGTAGAATAGGACCAATGCTTGCTGTAAAAGGCGACTATGCTTGTCGTAAGAGGCGACTCACGGGATGGGGTGGTCAAGCTCACTGACTTGGTTGATGCATGTTATCGATCCCAATTGCATTGATCGATGCTCATGATATCAATTACTGGATTGTCTGGTCCAGACTCCATAATTTACAGACCGCCATCAGAAAGCTGGAATATTGCTGAGCATAATGTTAAACAACAAACCAACCAACCAACCAACCACAGTGTTGGGTGTGTGAATGGTATGAGGAAGAGTTCCCTGGGCTATTGTGCGTTCTTGTAGCCTCAGTACACAGATTGTTACTCGTACTCCCGACTGCTGCTTCCATCTGCTCCCTGCTTAGTTAGTGCACTTGGGATTTGGTCTTGATGGTCCCCTCTCCTCTTCCAGACCCCCCATCTTGTCAATCTGAATGAGGACCCCTTGATGTCGGAGTGCCTCATCTACTACATCAAGGATGCGACGACCAGGTGAGAGAGAAATGCTAACAAAGAGAACTCTGATATGTAATCCCATTCAGGATTAGAAGCAAAAGTATCACCTTATTGATACGCACAGATAAGCAGAGACGCCGTTGTGAAAAGTGGACACAACGCTTATTTCGGACAATCCCAATATTTTGTACAGGTGGTTTTACTTTTTGGGCAGGGCATGTGTGCAAAATACACATCCGGCATTGCTATTAAAGCTGTAACATGTGACAGAGACCTGAATGCTACTTCTCACACGACACCCGTGAAGATTACGGGGTAGAATAGGTCTGCAGCAACCCATGCTTGCCGTAAAAGGTGACTATGCTTGTCGTAAAAGGCGACTAACGGGATCGGGTGGTCAGGCTCGCTGACTTGGTTGATGCATGTCATTGATAGCAATTGATTTGACTGATGCTCATGATATCAATCACTGGATTGTCTGGTCCAGACTCGATTATTTACAGACCACCGTCATATAGCTGGAATATTGCTGAGTGCGGCATGAAACAACAAACCAACCAACCAACTTCTCACACGAGGACTGCTACTGTGTACATTGTCTAATGCTATTGTCATTGAATACATATTCAGAATACTGGAGGCTGATTTTGTGTGTTAATTTTAAAGCTTTCAACAGCCTGTTGGGATTTTTACCAGGAAAATCTGTGAAATACAATACATTGATGCTGCTGAAATATGAATCACTTACTGTATGTTTTATACATGTATGTCTCCCACTGTATATTGATGCGACCTGTGAAGATCCAAGTTAGAATTGGTCTTCAGCAACCCATGCTTGACGTAAATGGCAGCTATGCTTGTCGTAAGAGGCAACTAACGGGATTTGGTGGTCAGACTCTCTGACTTGGTTGATGCATGTCATCGTAATTGTGTGGATCGATGCTCGTGATATCAATCACTGGATTGTCTTGTCCAGACTTGTTTACAGACTGCCGTCATATAGCTGGAATATTGCTGAGTGCGGCGTTAAACAACAAACAAACAAGACTCTTGATGCAGATGACTATATCAGTTGTAAATGGATCTGTTTTGTTGCCTAGAATTGGTCGAGCAGAGGCAAAGAATCTACAAGACATCCAGCTAAATGGAACCTACATCCTAGAGGAGCACTGTCTGTTTGAAAACAATGATGGTAAGAAGCTGCTGTGACTCCTTAAGACTGATTAAAAATCCGGAGGGGATATTGGCATTCCCCTTTCTATATACAGTGAAACCATTTTTCGGGCAGAACGTTTTGGCAAAGATTTTTTTTGATTGTGTGTTTAGAGCTTGACAACATGGAAAGATGTTTCTGTTGCATATTTGTTATATGTTATTAATTCTTCAGTACATGTTCATCAGGGTCCAATTATTCTTGTAAGAAATGTGAGCTCTGGGGAAAGCACTACAGTAAACTACGTTTATAACGAACACGCTTGTAATGACGGATATAGCGAACTTATTTATAGTCCCCACCATTTGTTGTATATATGCTGTATGTATGCTTATAACGAACTACGGTTATTACAAACTAAAATTAGTGGTCCCCTTGAGTTTGTTATAACTGTAGTTTACTGTATCTCTTCCTGTACTGTTATGTAATGCAGAATTGAGTCTGAACGAATGAGTGGCACAGCTCGGTGTCTCACGACCTTCATTTGTTTTTGAGGACTGACCTTTCACTTTCTTCTGCAGAAAACGTGACGCTGGTGCCGTTTGACGATGCACTGTGCTATGTGAATGGGCGACAAGTCATGGAGGCCACCGTCCTGAAGACTGGAGCTCGGGTGATCCTCGGGAAGCACCATGTGTTCCGCTTCAACCACCCCCAGCAGGGTAGGGACAGGCTTTGTCTGGTGTAATGCTGGTTATAGATTTGAGAAATTTTAGATCATTAAAGTGAAAGTCTGATTCTGTCATTAACACGAAAGCCTAGTGTCCGATTCTGTCATTAACATGAGAGTCTAGTGTCTGATTCTGTCATTAACATGAAAGCCCAATTGATCTTTTTAATCAAAGTCCACTGTGATACTGAATGTTTGTAAATTGATTTCCCAAATGATCAATCAACTTAATTTTAGATTGGACGCTATTTGGCAGCAGTTTAGTGTAATTATTGTAGAAAATTGCTTTATACCCAATTTGGATATAGTGAAAGGACAGATGTGGAATTGGAAGTGTTCAGTCAGAATGATTAAAATCCGTACAAGATGGGCCCATAAATTATATTCTAATAAGCGTGCCTTATTTCTAATTTTGAGAGCGCCTAGGCGCTTTTACGTCGAATATGGTAGTTATAAACAACAGATGTTTTGTGCTATCTGAATGATTTTCAATAAGCATGTTTCGTTTTCAGCTCGGCTGAGTCGTGCCTTGATGACAGAGTCCATAGACATACCCATCAGTAAGTGTCACTGTGCAGCTGGTAAACTTGAATGCCAAGTTCATGTGTGGTGCCTTTCTTCCCCAAGTGGTTCCCGGCTGTAATGTGGCTGAAATGTTGCTACAAGCAGCCTAAAGCCCAACTCACTCACTCACTCTTCTAACACATCTCTCGTCACGATATGGCTGAAATATTGCCGATGTGACGTAAAGCATAAACTCACTCACTCACTATTACTCATCTCAAAACTTCCATGTCAATATGCAGGGATAGAAATTAGCACTTACCCACAAGCCCAGGTTAGTTTTGTGCATGTAAGGGGGTTTTGCTATATGTTATCACTATTTGTGCGAATTGACTTTCTTTGTTTATTTCTTTCCCTGAAATGTCATGCACAATATATGGTTTAATTTAAAGAATACACTTGGTTCTGAGTCCCTGATATATCTGAAAACTCTGAATTCCAAGAGATAATATACCACCTGCCCTATGGTCTGTCTGACAGACCCTGATACAAATATATATCAAATACAGCCCATGCAAGTCTATAATTTTTGGCAAGTCTAGATTACTGCAGTATCAGAAAATAAGGGAGTCACTGGGCTCCCCTTTATTATATTTTTATTAAGATAACTGAACAACTGTTTTTTTCTGTACGATATGTTCATTTCAGAGACTAGATGTAAGTCTACCTGCCCTATGAAAGTAATATTTCCTTTGAATATGTTCCCTCTCTTCCATCACAGCCATAAATTTGTTTTTCTGTTAAGCTTACCCTTAATGACATGAACTGGTGTTTTAATAAATATATGTGTATGTATGTATGAAGTACTTTTAGATTTTACTACATGCATGGTAGGAAGTATTTGCACAGCAGTATTTGAGCGTTTACCACATGAGTGTTTGTTGTTGTAGGTGAGCCGGTGGACTGGAGTTTTGCTCAGCTGGAGTTGCTGGAGAAACAGGGGATAGATCTCAGGAAGGAGATGGAGCAGAGGTCAGTCCAGCGTCCATGGGACATTTACCGTATTCGACGTAATGAGCGCCCAGGGCGCTCTCAAAATTAGAAATAGGGGGCTCTTATTAGAATATTATTTTGGTGAAAAAAACAGAGTTGAAAGCTAAATTTCGTGGTTTATGCTGACAGCCTGAAATGTTTATGTACGACAGATATATGTTTCCAGAATTTAATTGCCAATAATAAAGGGTGCATATAACACACGAGTGCGTATTATACGCGAATAGGGGAAGGGAGCGGTGCGTATTATATGCGAATAGGGGTCAGAAGGGGGGCTGATTGGGATTGTTCAATAGCCAATATATCAGCAAATCTCGCCGTGGGCGCTTATAAGAGCGGGGCGCTTATTACGTCGAATATGGTAACTTTGGGGAGCAAGTTGAGTTACCTGGGTCACGAGCATAGTGGTTAGCCTTGTAGTTAAAGTGTTGTCTTGTCACACCACAGGTCCTGTTTTGATTCTCGACATGGTTACAATGTGTGAAGTGTATTTATAGTGTCCCTCAACCATAATATTGTTGAAATATTGCTAAAGTCTGTGTTAAACCATATTCCCTATCTCACCATGAGTTTGTTGACAGACTGCTGTGGTATGGATATTGTAGTGTGTAAACAAAATTCTTTCTCTCGAGTTCACTTTTATTTGAGTAGTTCATTGTTACATTAAGACGAACTACTTCTGGCAAAGGAAGATTGAAATGAGACAGTACATGCCTATAAGTTGTTGGCATATCGTGAGGGGAATACGGTCTGATGTTCCATCTGTGTGACAGTGTTCCCCGAGCTGACAGGTACATCAAACTGTATTCCCGAGTGGTAAACGTCAACCGATTTATCTTGTTTGTCATCATAGGATGCAATTTGTTTATATTTAGATTCAATGTTAATATGTAATACGAGATGTCGTTCTCTTAAGATTTGGAATTGCAGATATTGTATAGAGATCAGCAAAATATTTGTTCCCATGACAACAGGGTATTATAATCCAGTTGTTTATCACTGTAGCGAGGTACTTGGATAGTTAACAAAACATCATCAACTATAAAATTGAGGTATTTAACATGTTATGTAAAATACATGAATACACAGTTTTGTTGATTAACATGATTTATTGAAAGAGTTTTTGTGTCTGAATGTTGAGGTGAGGTGAGGTGAAATGGGGTTTAACGTCACGGCCAAGATTATTGCACTTATATAGCGAAGTGCACGTACGAGTGTGTGTTTGTGTGGCTGCTTGTACTAGTCCGGACTGATGCCGATTTATAGTGCTAGCTGACTGAGATACCATGCCGCAGTTTAACATGAATACCCCACTCAGACACAGAAAACTGACTCCGAGCCGACCAGTCCTTGTTTTAGCCCCTTAATGCCGAGCGCCAGACAGGGTAACAACAAGTACCATCTTTTAACGTCTTTTGGTATGATGCGGTCGGGGATCGAACCCCGGACCTTCCGCTCTCACGGAGGCGGTCCTGTGTCTGAATGAGTGGAGTTATGTATCTGTGATGTGTGTTCCTAGGTTGCTGAACCTGGAAGAGCAGTACCGGAAGGAGAAGGAGGAAGCAGACATACTGTTTGAGCAACAGAGGAAGGTACGCATGTTGACACTCGTACATCCTAATTACTTGTTCCAGAGACCCGTGAAGATTCCGGGGTAGAATAGGTCTTCAGCAACCCATGCTTGCCGTAAAAGGTGACTATGCTTGTCGTCAGAGGCGACTAACAGGATCGGGTAGTCAGGCTAGCTGACTTTGTTGATGCATGTCATCAATCCCAATTGGGTGGATCGATGCTCATGATATTAATCACTGGATTGTCTGATCCAGACTCGATTATTTACAGACTACCGTCATATAGCTGGAATATTGCTGAGTGCAGTGTTAAACAACAAACAAACAAACCATCAAACAAAACTTGTTCGTGAAATGATTTACATAGGAGTTTATTGTTGAAGGGAGTTTTGAAAGTGAATATAGATTATTAAATTTTCACTCAGCCTGATAATGGGAGGTGGTTGGGTTGAGTTATTAAAGTTGTGAGTTCACAAGGAGAGTTGAGGGCACTGAAACACAAAAACTTGAAGTGTAGCTGGAGAACTTTCCCAGGGCTTATTTGTGATGCTGACTGTACAGAAGCTATATTCCTCATACAAAGAAGAAGGAGACCTATATCCATCAATGAGTCTGTATCCCTTGACACACGACAGAGGCTTGAGGAAGAACAATGATGCATCCTGGACAGATTGTGTTCCTCGTCTTTGTACCCATTCTGTTGTGATTGACTATAGATATGTGGCAGACCCTTGGGGATTCCAGGTTAGAATTGATTCCCAGGATCCTGTGCTTCTCGTGAGAGGCGACTAAATGGATCAGGAGGTCAGGCTTGGTGACTTGGTTGATGGCATCATGTCCTAATTGTGTTGATCGATGCCCATGATGTCAGTACTTTTTAATGCAGTCATACAGATGTAATACTGATAAGTGCAGCATTAAACAACAAACAAATTAGGTGCAAAGTACCGCTGTGTGTTTGCAGGACTACGAGTTTCGCATCCAGTCACTGCAGGAGCAGGTGGAGAGACACTCCATGATGTCCAGCTGTGTGACGGACGACTTCTTCGAGGATGAAGAACCAGAAGGTACAATCGTCATTTACATACATACAGTATTACCTTGTGCAAATAGTCTTCCAAATTTTGGGCCAAATCAATCAATTTCAAAGTTTTTCATCAAAAATGAAAACATTCTTTCATTTTCAAGCTCATGTTTAAAGATGTACTCAGTTGCTCTGTTACCATGCTTGTAGGATATCCTAGTCAATTTATGTTTTACTGCTCACTGTTTATCAATATGTTTGTCCTTGGACATGGATTCTTAATGGCAGCAGTTTTAAAACTACAGTAAATTACGGTTATAACGAACTCAAAGGGGCCACTAATTGTAGTTCATTATAACCGTAGTTCGTTATAAGCATATGTATAGCATATATACAGCAGTGGGCAGGACAAAAATATAAGTTCGTAATATCCGTCAGTTCGTTATAAGCGTGTTCGTTATAAACGTACTTTACTGTATTGTGTAATAACATCTTGTTGTATGCGATGTTCATGATGTGTGTCTCCCCCAGAATGCAAGTGGTCAAGTCGAGAGAGGGATTTGGCAGCTTGGGGGTTCCGGAAATGGAAGTACCACCAGTTCACATCACTCAGGGTGAGGAGTCATCAGCATCTGTCCCATAGAAACAAAGTAGTCATCACCTGTTATGTTTTCGCCCCAAATTGTTAAAGTTAGGTCATGACTGCGCAAGGTAACATATTTGTTCTGCAAGTGCAAGTTAACTTTAAGTGGTTACGTAAAGGATAAAACACGATTCCCAGGGCTTGGTTGAGAATATAAACACTTGGGGTCAGGAAAATACCTTGGGCCTGAATCTGAATCTAAATTGAAGAAATACCAGAAGTAAAACAAAAACAATTGAATACCTCTTAGTGGTATAATGGCCCAGTCATCTAAGGCGCTGCGATTCGTTGTACAGAGTTGCGTCCCTTGGGCACACCAGAAACCTATGATTGTGGTTTTCGCCCCGATTACGTTTCTAGGTTTGTCAGCACCATACCAATGCTCGCGGGTTTCACCGAAGTGGTAAACGTCTGAGACCTGCATTGTTTCGGGCTTTCCTCCCACATTAAGCTGACACGCCGCGATATAACTGGAATACTGTTAAAAGCGGCGTTAAAAACCCAACACACACACTCACTCACTCTTGCTGGTATAAAACTAAATCGAAGACAGCGAGAGAAAGACCATGTGCAGCATGCATACAACTGAAGTCAGTCACGTGTCAGATTGAACACCCTTTCATCACTGATTCCAAGTTTTAATTTTTTTACCAAATCCAATGGACAGTGTCTTCCACTCTGACAGAAAATCTGAAGCAACATTTCTAACACACCTTCCTTGAACCTTAGGTTAGGAAATGGACATAAAATATATCTTGCTAGCGAACATGTACTTGAAAAAGAGATTCTTAAAGTCCTTGAAGTTTATCAGCACCTCTGTAGCCTAGTTGTTCACTCACTGGGCTACAGATACAAAGGTTGCATGTTCGATCACACTGAAATATCCGGAAAGTCCCTGCTAGGAGGTTATTGAACCAAAAGAGTGAGTGAGTGAATATGGTTTAACGCCGCTTTTAGCAATATTCCAGAATATCACGGCGAGGGACACCAGAAATGGGCTTCACACATTGTACCCATGTAGGGAATCAAACCCGGGTCTTCGGCGTTACGAGCGAACGCTTTAACCACTAGGCTACCCGACTGCCCTAACCAAAAGAAGGTCCCTCAACAACAACATCAGGATGACGTCAAAGAGGTTTATGAGTACGTTTTTCGTTTACAGGATGACTTATGGGGCAGTGCAATATTCCTCAAAGAAGCCAATGCAATTAGTGTGGAATTAAACAAGAAGGTAAGACTTGCTTTGCTGTGAAGAACTAAAATGGGCTCTGAGAGTAACCAATCTCCATCAGCAAATAAATTGCAATGTATGTATGTATGTATGTTGCCTTATGTACTTGTCATAAATGGTGATTTCTGTGTTTGAATCAAAACTTAGTGATTGAGTGAAGAAAATCTAACTTGGTCAGTCCAAATGTTGATTATTTTCTTGTCAGAAGAGAAATATCAGATAAATTGATTGTACATGTTTCATTACGTTTCAATTATTGCAACATCCATAGTCTCTTGAGTCTAATGGGAATTGCAGTAAGTATTATTTGAGTCTAGGCCTGGGACGGGTATCTGGGTACTCAGGTAGGGTGGATCCTGAGTAGGATCCGGGTACCTACAGGACTGACTACCTGGCCCCTATGTTAGTCATGTGATCAGTCAAACTCCATGGTTACACAACAAGTCGCTAATTGTTCGCATTTCTTTCTGACTATTCTCGCATTCCTGTTGACTTCTATTTGTAAAACCTCTGTCAACTTTAGTGTATGTATGATCATATTGTTTATGGTATCTAAGTAGTTTTTGTCAGGGCTCCCGAAAAACAATTCTCAATCGGACATTTTGTGCTCATAGTGAGACCTGCTCATAGTGAGTACCCGGGTTGAATTTTGGACTTGTCCCAGCACCCATTCTAAATATTGGACATTGAACAATTGAGACTTTCAGTGGATATTATATGTGTGTCAATTTTTAATATTTGACAAAGCACAAAACATCAACAGCTAACCGCCCATCTTGCAGGTTCAGTTCCAGTTTGTCTTGTTGACTGACACCCTCTACTCGCCTCTGCCTGGCGATCTCATGAACACTGAAGACAGGGACTACAGCCGACCGTTCCCCAAAACAATCGTAGCCGTTGAGGTACAGGATACTAAAAATGGCGCCACTCATTACTGGAATCTGACGAAACTTCGGTGAGTACACATGCATCTTATGTTCCCATTTCACCATTTTCACAACATAGCTAGAAATCATGTCTGTGCTTGTAATTCAAACATGTCAAACTTCATTGGTCAGTGATCAAGAATTTATTTGTTTTGTCATATGGATTCTCAATATATATTATGTACAATGATAGTTTTTTAAGTGATTCATTCTCCTGGATGGTTATTTTCTTGACTGTTGCATTGTTGCAGGTTTTTGTTGTTGGTGATTGCTCTTATTCCTCGTCACTCAGTGCATGTGTTGTGTGTTTCCTTTGTTAACATTTTCTGACATCTTTAACTTTATTCAAGTCTTTCCTGTTTATGTTCATAATTTCCTGGAACTGAAGATTTTATCTTAAAATTAGTTTGGTCTTTATAAGTGAAAAGTATATTGTCAAGTATTTTATGTTTTGATAGGAAAGTATTTATGAGCAGATTAATTTACAGATAATTTTGGTAATTTAGACGTTTAGCTTGAATATGTCTTGTATTTGTTTGTGTCTGTCTTCTCATTCTGTCTTGCTTGAGTTCTCTCCCCTGCCTGTTTTTTCTGTTCAGCTTATGGGCAAAGCTTGGAACTTGTGCCCAGTTTGTAAATACCTTTCCATTACCTTTTGATCCCCCCTTTTCAAATTTCCCTAAAATATATTTCCTGCAAGTTTTGGTTGTGAATTAACAAATAACAAGCATGGGTTCCAACTTTGTCTAAGTCTCAAATATTTGATCATTTTGAATTACAAGTGCTTGAAACCTTTCAGGCACAAGCCTATTAACTTTCTTGTATTTTTTATGATTTTTGTGAAAAATGAAACTTTCAATGTTACAAAACTGCTTCGCTTTGGTTTTGGTATTTTGTTTGCATATAAAGAATTGGGAATGTAAATATTGTCATTTAAAGAAAAAGGATAATTTGATTTTCAAACATGTAGTTGTTCAAAAGTTTTGATGGAGATGCAAAATAAAAACTTTTGCAGACAGTGTATGGAGGAAAAATATATTGAGTTCTTTTAAGTTGCCTCAATTTGCTATCTTTGGATTATAAGTTGATATGAATATTGATTTGTGATCTAGCCTCAACTACCATTAAGGATAAGGTTGGAATAGTTTTTTTCAGTATGTATGAATTCTGATATAATTTACATGAAACCAAAGCCTATTTTTTTTAAACCTTTATTTTTTTTAGAAGAAAATCCCAGAAGTGAACTCTTATTAAAACTTTTGAACAATTGCCAATACAAAATACACCAAATAAAATGTGAAATTGTGAATTTCTTTTCCCACGCTTGACGTAGACAACGGTTGGAACACATGCGAGACATATACAATGAAGACCTGTCTCCGGACACACCTGAGGCAAAACAAGATTTTTTCCATTGTCTCGCGGGTTGCGGACAACAGAACGTGTTTAACTTTTATAACCTTATCCCATCCAGGTCGGTTACCCTGTTGTAACCTTGGTTTTGGTTTATTTTTGTTCCTTAGTTTCCATGGTTTTAGTTCTTGCTGATTTTGGCACTGTTTTATTCCTATGTTTGGGCTTTACTTTCCACTGATGATTGGAAAGGCCGAGATTCTCTGCAGTCACACTTTTTTCAGTACATGTTGAAGGTAGGACTGAATAATGAATACTGGTATATAGTTTGTTAGCTTTGTTGAGGGTAACATGATCTGAATAGACATCGACTCTAAGTGAAGGTATATTTTTCAGAAAGAAGTGGGATTGATAAGATGAAAATAAGATTATCATGTGAATTTTTATTATTAAAGTTATGGTATGCTGTTTTGTTTATTAAAAATGAACTATTGTAAGGGAACTTTAAATTTTAAACAAGAAACTTTAAATTCATTTTCATTTCATACATTTTAACTGTTTTTATCTACGAAGGATAGAATCGAAGTTAACATATTTTTCTGGCCTTGCCAATCATGCCGATGTTCGCAGTGACTCGTTTCATTTGCAGCTTGTTCCTGTGGTTTCTCCCACGTGTTTTTTTTGTGCATTTGAGTGACTGTCAAGTAAATATATAACTTGTAGTGCTACTGTGAAACTTGTTATTCATTTATGGAATATGAATTGACCTTTTCTTCCACAAGTATGTATTAGTACTTTTTCTGCTTTGAATCACTGAACTTAATGTCATTCTTTGAAGCCTCTCGATGAAATTGAAATGGAAGTTAGAAATAGGCCATTTTTAAGGGTTTTGCCACGAGGACTCGTGTGCTAAAAGTGATGGTTTCTATCACTGAACTTACGTTTTGTCTAAAGTAAATTGTCCTAGTGGGTTGCCTTACTGGAAAAGTGCTCACTATAGGGATCACTTGGTGTGTTGCGACTAGTCCTAAAAACAGCAATGTTGTATAGTATGCGGGGGTTAATCTAGGATTCCATGCCGAGTGCCCCGGACAAGCAAGTTGGTACAATATCATGATATTATTCAAAATTTGATTATTTTAATTACCTTTTTTTCATTAATTCTGAGTGAATCGGAAATCTTTAATTAAAATTGGGAATTTGTACTATCATTTACTACAGAATTGGTACCGAATATTGGCATCTGATCAGTTCCAGATAAATCCTTGGTATATGATAAATAGTTGTAAAAGTTAAACACAATCAACTCTTCTGTCCTAAAGTAGATCCAAGGGCTAAGGATTATGATACTAGCTGCTCGTGAGATCACTGAAGACGAGGTAGTTTCTCATGCAGGCATCTACTCCAGTTAACGTTTCTGATCTAATCTTTAGTGAAAGTTTATATTTCCCTGGGTATGTTATGTGATAACTATTGTATTGACACACATGCTTAATGGTCATAACCTAATTGGCCACTTTAAGGATAATGCTAGCACAGGTACATATTTAATAGTCCCTCTACAGGAAGAAAAAGTCAGTTGTATTTTCTTGCTTGGTCTTACAGTGTTTTGATTTGAACGTGTGTGTGAGAATGTCCACTGTACTGTATGATATTACCCTTACAGCTAGTTACATAGCTCATTACAATGTTGACAGCTGACATGGCGCTTCTAAAGAATATTTATATCCTGAAAGGACAAAATTTTTCCTCCTGAGCAATCGATGGTCTGTTTTGTTCAACTCACTGCCATATGTTTTTCTAAAAACCTGAATGTTCCATAATCATGTAAAGGATAAAGTATATGGATAACAACATGGTATCAGTTTTACATACGGCAGTATTCTTACACATATACCCCATACTGTCACCCCACGAAATGTCAGATCATGATCCCTGAGGTGTGCCAGAATGTTCGGATTCCCTGATCCCCTGTTTGACCAAAGTATGATTCTCTGTTATCACCATATCTGTGCTCCTGGGTTTCACCAAAGTGTTCAATATCTTGGACCTGCATCACTTCCAGCTGAAATACTGTTCAAAGCGACCTGTGAAGATTCCGGGGTAGAATAGGTCTTCAGCAACCCATGCTTGCTGTAAAAGACGACTGTGCTTGTCGTCAAAGGCGACTAACGGAATCGGGTGGTCAGGCTCGCTGACTTGGTTGATGCATGTCATTGATAGCAATTGTGTGGACTGATGCTCATGATATCAATCACTGGATTGTCTGGTCCAGACTCGATTATTTACAGACCGCCTTCATATAACTGGAATATTGCTGAGTGCGGCGTTAAACAACAAACCAACCAACCAACTATTGTTCAAAGCAGCGCATAGTCAACTTACTCACCCTTTATGCCTATAGTGTTACCTTGTAACTGTTACCCATTTGATGTTTGCCATACCAGCTGTTACCACGATTGTTACCTGGTAACTAGTGCCACAACTGTTACACTCATTGCTACCATGTTATTGTTGTCTGTACATTTTGCTCATAACTCCATCATCTAACTGCTTCTAACCTTTGCATTTACATCTCATGAAAATAATTCGTTCGATTGAGACATATCTTGTATGGTCATACAGGGAGAATCGCAGTGTTATTTGAAGGTACATACTCTACAGTTGTGATTTGTTGCTATGGTTACAGACAACGCCTGGAGCTGATGCGGGAGATGTACCACAACGAAGCGGAGTTGTCTCCCACGTCCCCCGAGCCAAACATTGACTGCATGAGCGGCAGCGACCCTTTCTACGACCGCTTTCCATGGTTCAGGCTTGTCGGCAGGTGGGACATACTTCCTGTTTAGTTACCATGGTTACCTGTGGTAATCGCATCTCTGTGCTGTTCCCTATAGACATTTTTTGAACTGACTGGTGTTTTCCTGACAGATGCCCGGTCCCAAACTGCATCACACTTTATTTGCTTCAGGAAAGTGAATGCAATGTAATCTAGTGATAAATGTAACATGATTCAATTCCTAAGATACTTGCCTTCAAATATGAACTTATCAAGTTGGAAATCAGACCAGTAAAGATTTATTTATCCGCCATTGCAAACATGGCGACCAAAGATCTGTACCTCCTTGATGATTCAATCCCGATACGTACATAGAAAGTTGAATAATAGAAAATATAAGTACTTGTATTTCATGGTGAGTGTCTTGGGAAGAAAATCAGCTGCCTATTAAGTCTGAAGCAGTCTCAGTTTGGTTGCAATTTAGGTCAAGGGGTCCTTGTCATTGCTCTGGTGCTAAAAGTTAAAGATTTTGGGTCAATATATTTAAAAAATTGTATGTGCAAACATTAAGAATCTGCGCTTAATTTCGAAAACTGCTTATATGATTTGTGAAATGTGCAAATAAGAAATTTCGTGATTTCATTTGGGTTTTGCAGTTGTGAGAGTGTTGATGAATTTTGGAGACATTTTGTACCTTGTACTAGATGAATTTAAGTAGGGTAGTTTGGCATAATAAAGGTTGCATGCACCAGTGGTATGATTCACAGTTACTTACTGTGTTGCAAGTTATTTGATGATCAGTTTGCCATACTTTAACCTGCAATATATTGCCAATTTACATTTTCATGAATTAATTAGAGTTAGACCCTGTATTAATGTCCTTCCCTGTGCATGACACCTTCATAATACTCTCGGTATTGAGAGCTCCGCGAATGGGCTATCGCTGTGAGGAGCTTGATAGTTGTGATGTGTACACGCTAATTGATAAAAAGAACGTCAAAGGCAAGTAGCAGAAAGATACTATTTTCCACCTCCATATTGATTAGGAACACTTAAATATACTTATTTATATTTGCCCCAATATATTTCTACATTTACAAACGTATCGCAATACGTATTGCTGAAGTTTTGCACCACAATGTACTGGTAGTACCGCACACCCTTCAAGAACAGAAATACATCTAAAGAAATAATCCTATTATTGCGGTTAAGTTATGAAACTTGTTTAGTCACACCTTGTAGTTTGTAAGATGATCTGGTTATGTTGAATCTTACATTGCAGAGCATTTGTCTACCTGAGCAATCTCTACTACCCAGTGCCCCTGGTACACAGGGTGGCCATCGTCAGCGAGAAGGGGGAGGTGAAAGGTTATCTTCGGGTCGCTGTACAAGCTGTCACAGGTCAGTGTGTGATGTCAAACACTCGTAACAAGTGCTGCTTGCACCACAGTACATGTATTTGTTTGGACATGTTTATGTTACAAAGATGGAGATGAGCATTGTTGTCTTCTGGTTTGGGTAGAAACGATACATTGTAGCTCAAGTGCATCATGCAACGAAACGATACAAGATACATTTTTTACTCCATCGATAGAAGACGTTACAATTGCTAATATAAATTAATTACAACTCATTTCATGACTCCCCAGCATGTCTGTCAGTCAAATATTGAAATATGTGTTTTAATAAGCGTTTCAAGTTCACTACTAAAAATAGCCACTACGAGCATGTGTCTTTAGCTAGCTTTTCCTTTAGGACCTGCTCCAAAATATTTATAGTCAAGACGTTTCTACGCAAGTTGACGTGAATATGCATATTGCGATATCATGACCAATGTGTCGTGTCTTTCACCCCTACTTCTAGTATTTGTGCTTGTTCTCTTTTTTGTTTGACTGGACTCTGACCACAATTCCTCCCGGACGATTACTGTGTGGAACATCAGCATAGGATAATAGGAACATCAGTATAGGATAATAGGAACATCAATATAGGATAATAGGAACATCAGTATAGGATAATAGGAACATCAGTATAGGATAATAGGAACATCAGTATAGGATAATAGGAACATCAATATAGGATAATATGAACATCAGTATAGGATAATAGGAACATCAATATAGGATAATAGGAACATCAATATAGGATAATAGGAACATCAGTATAGGATAATAGGAACATCAATATAGGATTATAGGAACATCAGAATAGGATAATAGGAACATCAATATAGGATAATAGGAACATCAGTATAGGATAATAGGAACATCAATATAGGATAATAGGAACATCAATATAGGATAATAGGAACATCAGTATAGGATAATAGGAACATCAATATAGGATAATAGGAACATCAGTATAGGATAATAGGAACATCAATATAGGATAATAGGAACATCAGTATAGGATAATAGGAACATCAGTATAGGATAATAGGAACATCAGTATAGGATAATAGGAACATTATTTATCATCCCAAACTGACCGCCACAGGAGATATCTCCACAATGAAATTGCATCACAATGCTTTGCAGACCATTGTGACCTTATCGGAAATGATTACATCACAACCAATGACATCACTCATCTCTTTGCCACTGAAGCTGGTTAGCTGTACTTGTTACACTCAAGACACTGAATATTGCTGTTTACAAACTGAAAAGAATGATTTTAGATGATAAATAGAATCTCACCCTTTTGTCTTATCACATCAAATATCAGGTTGATAAAATTTTAGATATCCGATATCAAAAGAGACTTGGGTGAGATTCTCTGTGCACCCATAATTCAGTATTCCTGAAGTTTGTAGATGCTATTGACTCAGTGTTAAGAGCCCATTGCATTTTGGACCAGCCATGGGCGTAATGGATCTATATAAATAAGAACAAAATGTTTGTTTCACCAAGTCACTTTCACTTTGTTAACATTCTGCCTTTAATTAACCTGTTGTATCGTGTTGCAGAAGCTGATGATGCCCCTGACTACACCCCAGGAATCAAACAATCAGGGAACGCCAAAATCTCATTTAGCGATGCCGATTATTTTGCATCAGTAAGTTCTTGCTTATATTTTGATATAGCGTATTCGACGTAATAAGCGCCTCGCTCTAATAAGCGCCCACGGCGATATTTGCTAATATATTGGCTAGTGAACAATACCTATTAGCACCCCTTCCGATTGATCAATGTACGCAAGACTTATTTATTCGCGTATAATACGCATTTGTGTGTTATGTGCACCCTTCATTATGGGCAATTAAATTTTGGAAAAATGTATCTGTCGTACATAAACATTTCAGGCTGTCAGCATAAACCACAAAATGTATCTTTCAACTCTGTATTTTTTCACCAAAATAATATTCTAATAAGAGCCCCCTATTTCTAATTTTGAGAGCGCCCTGGGAGCTTATTATGTTGAATACGGTATCCTTAAACGCTGTTTGAAATGTTAAATGAAACAGTTCTCTGCTGCTGCAGGCAGCCCCTTTCTTTTAGTGGTGGGTTTCATACAGCAGGATATACGCTGTGAGGAGGATTCCATGCAGCATAATATTTGTATAGTCCTGTTGCTGAGAGCAATGAATATGTATTGTGGGGTTACTGCTCTGTAAGTGCTCAAGGAACCAAAATTAATAGACTCTTTTCCATTTTCAAAATTAGAACTAAATGTATGTGTTAAAAAACACCTTGAGATATATTCTTTTCAGGTGTCATTGTTTGACCGAAAAAGCACCTGCCTTAGATGCAATTATTTCCATTGAGCCCTCTTTCTTTCAGAAACAACTGACCCATACTGAATTTCCACCAGCCGTTATCGGGAAACCACCGGTGTCTGTTCCCTCGATGGAGAATCTGAGAATAGTGGAGGGAGAAGGGCAGTCACCAGAAAACACAGACACAGTCAAAGGTAGATCTTTCTGAAGTTTCAACCTCTTAATCCTTCACAATAATTCACTGTTTGTGAGTGACACAGACAGTCAAAGGTAGATCTTTCTCAAGTTTCAACCTCTCAATCCTTCACAATAATTCACTGTTTGTGAGTGACACAGACACAGTCAAAGGTAGATCTTTCTCAAGTTTCAACCTCTCAACCCTTCACAATAATTCACTGTTTGTGAGTGACACAGACAGTCAAAGGTAGATCTTTCTCAAGTTTCAACCTCTCAACCCTTCACAATAATTCACTGTTTGTGAGTGACACAGACACAGTCAAAGGCAGATCTTTCTCAAGTTTCAACCTCTCAACCCTTCACAATAATTCACTGTTTGTGAATGACACAGACAGTCAAAGGTAGATTTTTCTGAAGTTTTAACCTCTCAACCCTTCACAATAATTCACTGTTTGTGAATGACACAGACAGTCAAAGGTAGATTTTTCTGAAGTTTCAACCTCTCAACCCTTCACAATAATTCACTGTTTGTGAGTGACACAGACACAGGCAAAATTAGATCTTTCTCAAGTTTCAACCTCTCAATCCTTCACAATAATTCACTGTTTGTGAGTGACACAGACACAGGCAAAAGTAGATCTTTCTCAAGTTTCAACCTCTCAATCCTTCACAATAATTCACTGTTTGTGAGTGACACAGACACAGTCAAAGGCAGATCTTTCTCAAGTTTCAACCTCTCAACCCTTCACAATAATTCACTGTTTGTGAGTGACACAGACACAGTCAAAGGCAGATCTTTCTCAAGTTTCAACCTCTCAATCCTTCACAATAATTCACTGTTTGTGAGTGACACAGACACAGGCAAAAGTAGATCTTTCTCAAGTTTCAACCTCTCAATCCTTCACAATAATTTACTGTTTGTGAGCGACACAGATACAGTGAAAGGTGGAACTTCTTCAAAACTTCCTTCATTTGTTTCAACTTATCATTCAATTCATGTTTGTGTGACAGTGTGTGTGTCTGGTGTACCCCTAACTGTGTGGCAGTGTCTATGCATCTTGTGTGATCCAATTGTGTCTGGTGTTGCAGTACAGGACCAGAACGTGGCTGACAGCAAGAAGGTGGTCAACCTTGACCAGTGTCCAGATATGAACTCCAAGGAGCTGCCAGAGCACCTCCAACTGGGCTCACAGTTCCAGTTCCGGGTCACCGTACTCCAGGCCTCGGGAATCTCACCAGAATATGCAGACATCTTCTGCCAGTTCAAGTGAGTAGAACACTGACACCCAACAGTGATCAGGTTCTATTAAAATCTTAGGCATTTGACATGATTACAGTGTCCAAGTAAAAGGAATTCATGTCTAATGCCAAACCAAACGTCCGGGTAATTACAGTCAAAGGGAGGCAGCTTTGGGTTTGTTAGGATAACTTTTCAGCAGGGTACCTTAAGTGTCTGACATCTCCATTGATTAAGTTAGTTTTGTTTTAAGGTAAAACATAAAAAATAATATTTCATGGTGATGTTCTGATGATTGATTATGGTTATCAGTTCATAAACACATTTATCCTTAATAGTCAACCAATCATCTATTTTGAGTAATTGAATAAGATTGTAGTCAAATCTTTTGGCACACAATTTCTGGAAAATTCAGAAAAAGGGAAAGCAATGACTGATTGGTTGGAGCAAACCAATTCTGACCAATGATAAAACTCAAACTAATTGACATCAGAAGCATTTTCATTGTGGCAAGGATAATGATGAAGGAAAAACTAACATGATACAGGTTGCAGATGTTAGCCTTTGGTCTGGTCTGTAAGGTCATTGTCAAGGTCAGGGTCAGGGTACAATGTGAATGCAGCGTTAGAAATTGGCACTAGTCCTATAGTCCTTGCCAAACTGCCCAATGGTAAAGGTATCATAAGGACTAGTAGAAATGTGCCCTTTTTAAGAGTTTTGCTATATGTAATCATTATAAGGACTAGTGGACGAAAACTGTTAGTTTCTACCCCTGGAATGTCTCTCTTCCAGCTTCCTGCACCGACATGATGAGGCGTTCTCCACCGAACCTCTAAAGAACACAGGGAAAGGCCCACCACTTGGCTTCTACCATGTCCAGAACGTAAGTCCCGCCCATTTGACCCACAGAAACTCATGGAAGAATCTCAATCATCAGGAAAAAACGGAAAGTTATCAAAAGAATTGATTCATCCAAACTTCAAATTTGTCTTAGTATTTAAATGAACATGTATGTACTTCATGCTCAAAATCTCTGTGAACATTGTGAAATGTATTGTCATAATATGCTGGCAGCAGATTGTTATTCATTAAGATATTAGCATGGTCAGACAGCATGTTGACCTGGGAAACCTAAACTTTATGCTGCAGTTCACAGTGAACGTGACCAAGTCGTTCATCGACTACGTGAAGACACAGCCTCTGGTGTTCGAGGTGTTCGGTCACTATCAGCAGCATCCACTGCATGAACAAGCCAAGGAGAGACCCTTGTAAGTTCAGTTCACACATGACTTTATTATTGTTCCTAGAATTTGAGTTACTACTACTTCTGTAGAAGGGATATTATCGATAACCTGATTGGATCACATGTAGCTATGCAACATTTCAAGTAGATACATAGCATCACAGGGAGATATATGACATCACAGGTAGATATATAGAATCACAGGTAGATATAGGAAATCACAGTTACATATGTAGCATCACAGGTAGATATATAGAATCACAGGTAGATATATGACATCATAGGTAGATATATGGCATTATAAGTAGATATATAGCATCACAGGTAGATATGATATAGCATCACAGGTAGATGTGATATAGCATCACAGGTAGAAATATAGCATTACAGGTAGATATATAGCATTACAGGTAGATATAAAGCCACACCCTTAGATATATAGTTTCACAGGTAGATATAAAGCATTACAAGTAGATAAATGGCATCACAGTTAGATATATAGCATTACAGGTAGATAATTGGCATCACAGATAGATCCATAGCCTCACAGGGAGGTATATTGCATCACCGGAAAATATATAGCATGGACATATCGCATCATAGGGAGATAAAAAGCGTCACAGGTAGACCTCATGATTGAATTGTTGAAACTACTGTAAATTTCAAATTCAAATTTTCTTAAGCTTTTTCAGCAGGATTCGATCCCCACCAAGCCGGAGTTTCCCATCGCACCTGCCAGTGTCGAAACCTGTACCGTCGCCCAAGTATGGTGTCATCACTGCCCCAAGGTGAGAAAGTGTTACAGACAGGAGAAGTATATGTGTCCCACATGAAGCACTTGTCTCCTTGTGTCACAGTGTAGTCCTGCTTCCACCCCCTCCGTATCACGCCCCCTCAGTATCACGCCCCCTCCGTATCACGCCCCCTCCGTATCACGCCCCCACAGTATCACGCCCCCACAGTATCACGCCCCCTCCGTATCACGCCCCCACAGTATCACGCCCCCACAGTATCACGCCCCCTCAGAGCTGCTGACATACTGGCAGCTCATCAGCTCTTCCTACATCAGTCCTATGCTGGGATGGAACCCAAACTCACACTAACCCCTAACATAGGGACACAACTGAAAGTCTGAGCCTCATGATACCTTTAACATTAGAAAACTGACTTGGCCCAATTGACTGGAGCCAACCTGCATCCCAAACACTTGTAAGTTCTGTAAATCCTGTTAATTCAGACTTTGTCACCAGATTTAATTTTCCTGGCCTGTTTGATAAATTAATTTGGGTTTTGAATTTTCTTTTATTACAGTAATTTCAAATTGATATTTTATTTCAAATTTAAAGTAAGTGGTTGGGACTATTTGTGTTCTTTAGATCACCTTGTTTTGTTGATCAGAAAAGGTTGTCAATGACACTTGATAATAGATTCATCTATCCAAATTGACAAGAATATGTTCCCTCTTTAATACATTGAATTTGTAAAATTGTATCAATGTATTCGACACAGTGGCTATGCATATGCTTGTAAATAAATACATGTTTATCCTTCTTTAAAGCTACCAATTCTGGTAATTCCCATCATTGTCGTTTGAACTTTCTTTTATGCATTCATTCCTTTGAACAATACTCCTCTTTTTTTCTGTCTTCATTGTTTGTGTGACTTTATGTACCATATGGTATGTGTGCGTAGTATTTTCTGTAATCTCTAGTCAGTGTTGTAATATGCACTTATTCTGTCCCCACTCAGAAAGAGAGACTTGTCTCTTGTAATGGACATCACTAAGGCTGCTGGGATTGGGTAAGATGTTCCGCATGAATGCTGGTGGTGGTCACATGACTTGTAGTTTGTAGTTTGGAGTTATCTGCCCTTACAACTGATAGGAGCTTTGAAGTCATAACCTTGCCTTTGCTTTGAACTTCCATTTCGGTAAATGTAGTTGCTGTTTACGATGACGATAGAGAATAAAGTCACTTAAACAAGACATGATTTTCTTATTGATTTGAATCTGAAATCTTTAATTTTAATTGTATATAATGTCAGATGCTTGTCTGAATCAGTGGGACTGTTGGATATCCTAGTGGTTAAAGCATTGGTCGTTATGCCACAGTCCCATGGTCCCTCCCATGGTTACAGTGTGTACAGCACATCCATTCTCAGTGTTCTACTCACACAATAATTTACAGAATTCATATCTGCATCTTCCTTTTCTATTTCCTGTCTGTGTATAGCATAGAGTTATCTACCCTTGGACCATACATTTGCATGGTGATGTGTCTTATATTGATTTTAAACAAGATTATTTTCAATCATTAATAGGGGGCACAAGTGGCCCAGTTGCCTAAACACTGCAATTCGCTGTGCAGAATTGCCTCCCTTGAGTGTGAGAAACCTATGATTGCCCAGATAATGTTTCCAGGTTTGTCAGCACCATACCCATGCATGCTTGTGGGTTTCCCCAAAGCAGTAAATGTCTGAGACCTGCATCACTTCAGGCTTTCCTCCCGCATTAAGCTGACATGCCGATATATATAACTGAAATACTGTTCAAAGAGGGTTTATGCCAAATTCACTCACTCAATAGCAGTGCATTCAGAGAATAAGTAGGCCTTATCAGGATAAGTTTGAATTCTGGGTCACTGTTTCAGCACAGTTTGAACTCTTCTGCCTGGAGAACAACTGTCCCTCACTGACTCATGACACCCATGACAGGCATTCATGGTTATAATCCTCACTAGAATCATTATGATTCCAATTTTCTGAAGATACTAAGATACTCTGCTGCCAAATAGCTCCTTTGAGTCGAAGGACAATGGGTGTTATTGTAATTCCAACTTTCAGCTGTGTTTGGGTAAAACCAGCTTGTTTACAGAACTTTTAGCCCAAAGTTCTATGTAGGTGGTCGATAAACAAGGCAGTTTTAGTTGGCAGGACATTGAGGATAGTCTTGTTGGTATTTGTAGATTTAACACTAGTTTGAGCAGCCTCCAAATTTTTGTGTGCACCCACACTAGGTAATAATTAGCTGTTTCGGACACAATTAAAGAAAGGGTGTCGAGACAAAGCTGCAGTACTGTTTACTGGCCTACGACAACATTCACTCTCACTCAGTTGTGTGGAGCTTTTGCTCATATTAACGACTATCTTGTGCCGTGATGTTACTGTCATAGAGCTTTTGCATTAAACACCATTTACTCTCAGTCATATTTGCACTAAGAATGTATCGTACACAATGGGTATTTGTCGGAAAGTGGCACCTGGAAATACTGTTCCTTTGATCTTTGTTCTAACCTTGTGTTTATTAACATAGTTTGACTTTGTTTATTAACTGGATTTATTGTTAATTAGCATAAAGCTGTAGACTAATGTGTTTAGTATATCGAGACTGTTTTCTCTCATGTATAGTCAGACTGCATGATCTTGCTTTCCAGTGTTCATGTAACCCAGTATATCTGCTTCTGTCATATCCTAGCTATTAATTATCTCAGTTTTGATTGAGGGCCTTTCAAATCTAAACTGAAACGAAATGTTGCCAAAACCTGAAGCACATTTTCCCAGAGCTTCCACAGTTAATAGTAACCAAAGTTCACATCTGTTTCCTACCAACCCGTGAAGATTCCGGGGAAGAATAGGTCTTCAGCAACCCATGCTTGCCGTAAAAAGCGACTATGCTTGTCGTAAAAGGCGACTAACGGGATCGGGTGGTCAGGCTCGCTGACTTGATTAAAGCATGTCATCGATCCCAATTGCGTGGATTGATGCTCATGATATCAATCACTGGATTGTCTGGTCCAGACTCGATTATTTACAGACCGACGTCATATAGCTGGAATATTGCTGAGTGCGGCGTTAAACAACAAACCAACCAACCAACTGTTTCCTACCTGACAAGCCCTGATGCTTGCTACTCTTGTAATGAAGGAACCCTGGGGGGTGGGTAGAATAGGTCCCTGGCAACGTATCCTTCCAGCATGAGGCTCCTTTGTGGATCAGGTGCTCTGACTCTGTGACTCTGTGACTTGGTTGATTGCCTGTCATCATTCCCCAACATCATGGATGTTGCTCATAATGTCCGTCACTGGATTGTCTGGTCCATATTTGACTATTTGCTGTTATGTAGCTGGAATATTGCTAACGTTAAACAACAAACAAACAAACAATAACAAAATTAAAGCAGAAATTAGACCTACTTTCCTTATTATATGATCATTTTTCAAAGAGATTTCTATCTTACTCTGCAGTTTCAGTTTTCAGGGGAACGGTTTACTGTTGTACAGTGTTATAACATGAATGTAGTACTGGAATAGTATTCAGGCAACTAACGCTTAATGTCTGGTTTCTTTCAGCTCGAGCCCTGTGTACTCCAGATGTGATCTGCTGGTGTGGTTTGAGATCTGTGAACTGGCCCCCAATGGAGAGTGAGTTGATCATCCGCTACGATATGCCTCTAAGTCATAAATGTGATGTTATTGTGGAAATAGGGCTCATGTAGCAATTACTCAAGAATGTTACGCAGAAACAATCTAGGGAAGTAAAGGATACTCATGAAGGGAACTTGTGTGTTGTCTTTGGGACGTTTCCTGCAGACTGGGGACACATATCTGCCTCTGAGTAGGTGCAGCTAAGTGCTGTGTTTTGTGCAGCAAAGTGCTGTGTTTTGTGCTGCTAAGTGCTGTGTTTTGTGCAGCAAAGTGCTGTGTTTTGTGCAGCAAAGTGCTGTGTTTTGTGCAGCTAAATGCTGTGTTTTGTGCAGCAAAGTGCTGTGTTTTGTGCAGCTAAGTGCTGTGTTTTTGTGCAGCAAAGTGCTGTGTTTTGTGCAGCAAAGTGCTGTGTTTTGTGCAGCTAAGTGCTGTGTTTTGTGCAGCTAAATGCTGTGTTTTGTGCAGCTAGATCTTTGTGTAGTTAAGTCCTGTTTGGTGCAGGTACGTGCCTGTGGTGGTGGACCATGGGGAAGAGCTGCCCACCAGGGGGATCTTCATGCTACACCAGGGTATACAGAGACGCATCCGCATCACCATCGTACACGAGCGGCGGCATGAACTGCTGTGGAAGGATGTGAAGGAGCTTGTTGTTGGTATGTCTTCCCATTCACAACTTCTCTGATATCACTTGGTGTTAACCATAGTGGTTCTGTTGTATTATTAAAGTTTAAGAAGCATGTTTAGTTCAAGTGATATATGAGTCAATCTTTTTGTGATGTTTTGTAAATTCTCTTTGTTGTATTCGATGATTATCTGTGGCAGGTCGTATCCGCAACACCCAGGAGTACCGAGACTATGACGGTGAGATGACCGTCCTCTCCCTCAACCTCTTCCCTGCCCACTTCCTTCAGTACTCCAACGATGACAGGTGGGTGTCTATACTTTGTGTCTATAGATGGGGTTTGGGTGGGGGTGGGTCGGAACTTTGTGTCTATAGATGGGGTTTGGGTGGGGGTGGGCCAGAACTGTGTGTCTATAGATGGGTTTTGGGTCGGGGTGGGTCGGAACTTTGTGTCTATAGATGGGTTTTTTTGGTGGAGGTGGGTCGGAACTTTGTGTCTATAGATGGGGTTTGGGTGGGGGTGGGTCAGAACTTTGTGTCTATAGATGGGGTTTGGGTGGGGGTGGGTGTCTATACTTTGTGTCTATAGATGGGGTTTGGGTGGGGGTGGGTCGGAACTTTGTGTCTATAGATGGGGTTTGGGTGGGGGTGGGTGTCTATACTTTGTGTCTATAGATGGGGTTTGGGTGAAGGTGGGTCGGAACTTTGTGTCTATAGATGGGTTTTTTTGGTGGAGGTGGGTCGGAACTTTGTGTCTATAGATGGGGTTTGGGTGAAGGTGGGTTGGAACTGTGTGTCTATAGATACTTTTTTTTGGTGGAGGTGGGTCGGAACTTTGTGTCTACGAACTGGGTTTGGGTGGGGGTGGGGGTGGGGGTGGGTCAGAACTGTGTGTCTATAGATGGGGTTTGGGTGTGGGGTGGGTGTCTATACTTTGTGTCTATAGATGGGGTTTGGGTCGGGGTGGGTCGGAACTTTGTGTCTTTAGATGGGGTTTGGGTGGGGGTGGGTCAGAACTGTGTGTCTATAGATGGGGTTTGGGTGGGGGTGGGTGTCTATACTTTGTGTCTATAGATGGGGTTTGGGTGGGGGTGGGTCGGAACTTTGTGTCTATAGATGGGGTTTGGATGGGGGTGGGTGTCTATACTTTATGTCTATAGGTGGGTTTTTGGTGGGGGTGGCTCCTATACATTGGACTTGATTGAAGGTGGTTACTGGAGCATGAATTGTGAAGATGTTGATGAGTCACTTAAGGAATACCTGCTCCTCTGCAGACTTCTGGTATACCAAACTGCAGTAATATCAATCGTGACTGTTCTTGCTGGTGTCAAAGAATCATATGTTCTTGCAGACTCTGATTTCTATGGACACGAACAGTCCCCCCATCCATTCCAACAGCATGAGATACATCACAAGTGAAGCCAGTTTCACAGACTTTGATCGATTCCCCCATTTACAGCTTGGGTGAAGTTATGCCTTGGCACATGTCTGTATACAGATGGGTACCTCGGGTTCCTTGCTGTTGTACTATTTCAGGGGCAGTCACCATTGGTCATATCCAACAAGTCTGCAGCTCATTTCGAACTAATGGTTTATGTAAAATAACCAGATTTGGGGAGGAAACAAGTCCATGTAGATATTCACAAGTTCCTCACAAACGGAACTGTGGTCGTGTCTGTCACTGTGTTTGAGAATGGCTCCTTCAGCCATATTATACTTTGTAAGTCCAGTAGATAATGGCCAGTGTCTCCTCTTCGACCCCAGACTCCGACCATATAGCAGTCATCCCTTAGTTGACTGTAGTAACTTGGATTGCTTGGGCTGGGTCTGTCATCTTGAAGCGGGCAGAACAGTTTGGACAATCAGTTGTTTGGTTGGTGCTATTTTGTGATATCAGTTTTTGTGACAGTTTGTTTTGTGTTTCAGAGTCTTCTTCCAGTTTGAGGCTGCCTGGGACAGCTCCCTCCACAATTCCTCCCTGCTCAACAGGGTCACACAGTATGGGGAGAGAGTGTACATGACTCTCTCCGCATACTTGGAGGTACGTTTCTCACTCATGCCGTAACAGCTACGTTATGGTTACGATTTTTGTTTGTTTGTGGTTTAACGCCGCACTCGGCAGTATTCCAGCCTCATGATGTCGGTTTATTTGTTTTTAAAACCTGCAAATATGTTGGTGAAATACTGTAAAGTTGTGCTGTGTTAAGTGTATGTTTTCAAGTGTTGTTTGTTTTGTCATAAACAGTGAGTACATTTGAACAAAAGTAGATATATTTTCCCACAATACAGATTTAAAAAGATTAATTACATCCATCAAAGTTATAATTTGTCTTGTCAATTTAAATTTTTGAAAGCTTAACTTGTCATCAAGACAGCATTTTTAACTTGTGAATTACAATCCATTGAGCGTTAATAAAATGTTATACCTCTGTTGCAAGAGGCATTGAGAGTTTAATCAAATGTATTAGCTCTATTTTGGAGTGAGAAATCCATCAAGAGTTTGATCCAATATCATTGGTCTTTTGTGTATAGTGAAGTATAAACTCCATGTTCCCCGTGCCACAGGTGGAGAACTGTGCCCAGCCTGCTTGTATCACTAAGGACCTGACTCTCATCATCCACTCCAGGGACACCAAGATCTCAGCTCCAAGGTAGGCTGCACTCTGACACTGTAGGGAGTTTGTCTGTACTCGCCTCATGACTGTTACATTAGACCAGATCTCAGTTCCAGGTAGCCTGCACTTAGACGCTGTAAAGAGTTTGTCAGCTAAAACTTTCATCAAAACTTGAAATTGCTTTCCAAAATAAAGCTAAGAATTTCCATGCATATGTAATTCTAAACGGTTTCGTATATTTTACGTACAATTTTATCTGTTAAAATGAAAACGTTCCTTGATTGCAGGAGTTTCATTGCTTTTGTTTATTGCCAAACACATTTCCAGTGTCAAGGTACATTTAAATTGAAATGTCTTCAACTGTGTACATGATGAAGACAACAATCTCACTTGTAACATCCAGCAACTTCGTCTTGCTTTAACCATGTTAACACATGCTATTCTATAATAAAGCTTCAGTAACTATGTTGAGCAACTGCCTTCATGATACAGATTGTCATATATGTTGTACATATCACCTATAGTTCTCTAGATCCACCTAGCCATGTGCAGTAGTAGATGTGTATATCATGCTTATGTCTGTCTGTCACAGTCTCGCTCAGTTGGTTGTATTAGTGGTGTCAGTATCAGTATACGCTCCAGCCTTGCACATAGCATCACAACTAACACCAGATACAGCAGCTATTGAGCTCGGGGAAAGGGAGGTCTCGGTTTGAGTACAAAGACTAATCTAATGTCACTTAAGAAAGGGGGCATGGGCGGCCCAGTCGTCTGAGGCGTGTAATTCACTGTGCAGAGTTGCATCCATTAGGCACGCCAGGAAGCTATAATTATGGGTTCGAATCCCGGTTCGCCATTAGTATGTTTCTAGATTTGTCAGCACCATACCCATGCTTGTGGGTTTCATCAAAGTGTTAAACATCTGAGACCTGCATCACTTCAAGCTTTCCTCCCACATACAGCTGCCATGTTGTGATATAACTTTAATACTATTCATAACTTTAAAATATCACTGGCTAATAATATTTGGTGTTGGTTCATTAGGTTAACCAGTTGGAGAAAATGGTTCAAATTATTTTTATATGATTCAAATCTACAGATGTAAATACCATATTGTAAGGGATGAAGTAGATGCTGCATGGCATGACAATAGAAGCAATGGAACCTTCTTAGGAAACCCCTACTGTTGTCTGTGGGGACGTTGACCACAGCAGCCCTGCATGGAGGGGCTAGTGTTGTGTTGTGTGTTGTACAGTGCACTGTCATGTCTCTATGTGCTGGTATGTCATCTATATCATGTCTGGCACACCCGTTGTGACGCTCCCCGCTGTTCACAGAAGATTATATAGGGTGGGCCAACAACACAGGCTGATAGCAGGGAGGAAAGTCAGGAGGAATCATTTTGAAAGCCGGTTTTCAAATGCCCGTTTTGTGCCCAGGAAATACAAAAACAAATGGTGTGGGAGGATTTATTCAGGGGATATTCTTATAAAAATGCATGAGCTTTGGTTTTAGGGTATGTCATCATTCTTTATGACAATTTACTCTTTGGTTGTGTTTTTGTTTGTTTTTATAAAAAAATAATTTATACCTGGTAACTGATAAACGTTGAATTAAGCTTCAAGAACAGGGTACAATAAAGAACATTTATTCTTTGGTTATTGGGGTAATCATATGCCTTATAAACATCAGAGTATGAAGCTGGTAGTGTATAGACATTGTACATCTACATGTGGGAGGTACGTGTCATAATACTGGAACAACACCTGAGGGAACACTGTGCAGACACAGGGCGTGGTAGACTCGCAGGTCTTGCTGCTCTTACCTTCAGTACGTTAGACTACACCTTGGCAGACCAGCAGGCTTTTGGGCAACACGTGTACAGTATGCACAAATGCATGTTTTTTGAATAAGATAAATGAACCATGTCCCAAAGGACACACAAATGTGGAAAGTGTTTCAAGACCATTAAAGTTAAGTAATCAGTGCCGTAGCCAGCCAGGGGGGCGGGGGGGGCAGTTCCCCCCCTAGATTTTTTTATAGAAAACAGTTTTTTTTAATTAAGTTGGGGACGAGTGATACTTGTACAAATATTTGCTCCCCCTGTCAAAAAAAGTTAACTACGGCCTTGGTAATAGTCCTCTGGACCCTCCGTTCAGCAGGGTAAACCTGTGAGTCTGCAAGGTACCGGTAGCCTTTGAGGATGTGAGTGCAGCAAGGTTTGTTGATGTTGACGCTGGCTTTGGTGGTGATGTCTGTGGCTGTGTTCTAACCGAGGCCCTGTTTGGCATACAGTAATCGTTTCAGGGCTCTGCGCAGTCTCTTTGGGGGTTCCAAGAACGCAGAAAGCAACCGGGTGTCTGGTGTCTATGAACTGTTCCTCAGGAAATTCTCTGAGTCAAGTAGCCCTGGTAAGTCTTATGGGAATGTCTTTTGGCATATAGTTTTGTCATTGTATGTACAAACGTAGATCACATGGCACCATGGTGAAGAATCTAGCTACATCGCTAAAAAGCTGAAACATTGCTGAAGTGGTGCTTAGTTTAACCTCACTATTTTATACAAAGGAAATGAAAATGTCACCAAAGTTGTGTAATAATTTGGTTTATATTTGATCTGAAGATGCAGAGACATTGTGATACAATTACGAGTAGCAAGATGTATAAATGGCTCAAACACAAGTTCAGGAGATGTTTTGGGATAGAATTTGGAAAATGGATTTTTACTGGAAGAAATCTAAAATGAAATGATCCATTTTTTGTACAGGAGTGCAGCGGCGTCAGCGACGCGTTTTGGACACGTCGTCTACATATGTGCGTGGCGAGGAGAACCTGAACGGTTGGCGCCCCCGTGGAGACTCCCTCCTGGTGGACCATCAGTGGGAGCTGGAGAAGCTCACCAGGCTTCAGATGGTGAGACATCCCCTCACATAGAGCGGAGGGTGCAAGGTCGGCAGTTTGATTCCCGGCCATTTCACACCAAAAGACATTTATAAGATGGTGCTTGTTGTTACCCTGCCTGGCGTTCAGCATTGAGGGATGAACAAGGACTGATCGGCTCAGAGTTTGAGTGGGGTATCCATGTTGAAGTGTGGCATGGGATCTCAGCACAATATAGCCGGACTAGTACGAGCAGCCACACACACACGCACGCACGCACACGCACGCACGCATGCACGTACGCACACATACACACACACACACGATGTTCATGTTACCTCATTAATAATTGCTGAAAAAAAAACCGGTATAATTCTCACGAATCCTCTCCCTCTATTTCATCATTGCCATAAATCCCATATTTTGGTTGCAATCACACTTTAACTTCAATTAACTTTATTTTCAAAAAGTAGTCCTCCTCACTGTCAACTACACATGATTAGTTGTTCCCCTAATAGCACATATGCAATTTCAGATTTGAGTTATTGTGTGATTGTAGCCAAAGTAAGCGATTTATGGCTATGATGTAATAGAGGGAGTAGAACTATTAACAATGATATCTATTGTTTTGATGTTTCTCTGAGTCCTATCCTGTAATGCAAAGAAGGAGAATGAAGGGGGAAACAAATAATTGTTACCATTGAACAGTTACAAAACATGTGAATAGATCATTAATTTTTGTTTCTGTATTTCAATATGATGATGTTACTTTATAAATAAATTGTTTGTCGGAAATTCAATTCATGATGTGATTTTAAAAAGTGGATATTTTACAGAAAATAAAAGTAGTTATGGTGCTTAATTGTTTTCCAGGTGAATGTGTAATGTAAGGGCATGGGGTCCTAGGGACTTTATACCCTGGATTCCAAACATTGAGCATTGCAGTAAAAGTCAGAAGGGTTGTCACAGACTCTTAACCTTTAGTCAGATTTCTGTCCTGTCCTCTAACAGTTCTATAATTCATACTATATTCCAAATATGCAAACTGTATAACTGTCAAATATATAATTTACATTGAGAGTACAGTGATGATGTGTGTAACCTATTTATGACACCAAAGGATTCAGTGTAATATCTGGCCTCTCACATTGCAGGTCGAGAAGGCCCGGCATGTACTGTTGCTCCGCGAGAAGCTGGCCGAGCAGAACAAGACGTCGGAGCTGAGCAAGCTGGACAAGGACATCGTCAACATGCAGGCCAAGTATCGCAGTCAGAAAGCCAAGGAGGAAGAACTGAAAGAGTTACGATCTGACGAGAATCCTAAAGATGTTGACATTAAGGAGAAAGATTTGACAAAAACCTCAAACATTTACGACTTGAAAACGGATGGGGACAGAGAAAAGGAGCTTGCTGCTAAATGTGTTAAGCTGATGCTGCAAGGAAAACCACCTCTCAAACCTCCACCTGTCAGGGTACGTAGTGTCTCAAATCTCCACCTGTCAGGGTACGTAATGTCTCAAACCTCTCCTGTCAGGTTACGTAGTGTCTGAAACCACCACCTGTCAGGGTACTTAATGTCTCAAACCTCCACCTGTCAGGGTACGTAATGTCTCAAACCTCTCCTGTCAGGTTACGTAGTGTCTCAAACCACCACCTGTCAGGGTACGTAATGTCTCAAACCACATTCTTTCAGGGGTTTAAGTATTTTGCCTTCTTAAACTTTGTAAGTACTGTATTGTTCTTGACTATTAAGTAGAAGTAGTACGGGTACTCTTTGTTGCCCCAGCATATAATGCGGGGGGATTTAGTCATGATCTGGTCTGTCTGTAATTCATTTCCAGAGAATAACTTAAAAACAGTGAAAGAATTTTCATCCAAACTTGGAACATGTATTAACCAGGAGCCGAAGTGCCTTTTGCTATTGTGGTGGCTGGGGGGGATGTGTCATTTTCTGATGACCCTTGTTTTATTTGCCACTGCTGTCCTCCCACCAGACTTCGCTGACAGACTCCATGTTAAGCTCGACGACTGCAACATCAGAGGAGAGTGACAGTATGCAGCAGTCAGGAGCAGAATCTCTGGGCATCAGCTTGACAAGTTCAACAGCATCTGAACTCTTCAAGTAAGTACATTTAATTATGAGCTGTTGCTATGACGATTGTTCAGATCACAGAATGCAAATATGATTACATGGTTCACATGAAGCTTTAATGCTTTGTTGTTTTACCGAGGGGCGGTCGGGTGGCCTAGTGGTTAAAGCATTCGCTCGTCATGCCGAAGACCCGGGTTCGATTCCCGACATAGGTACAATGTGTGAAGCCCATTTCTGGTGTCCCCCGTCCCTAAAAGCGGCGTAAAACCATACTCACTCACTCACTGAAGGGCTGTTGCCATCACGATTGTTCTTATCACAGAATGCAAATATGATCACATTTATGAAGAACCTTCGTGACCGTGTGCAAGAAGTTGAAGGTTTTCTGACGGTTATGATCATTGTTTAAATGGCTAAAAAACGGTTGGTTTGACTTTTGTTTTACTCACTCATAGTTCAATATTCAATGTTTTGAAGAGCAATTGGGATTAACATGCCTGACCTTTGTGATTAAGCTGAAATGTTCTGTGCCATTAAATTATGTGCAAAATAGTTGATGTGTCTTTGATTGCACAGCCCAAGAAGATATCTGTCTCGTATAATAAACAATGTATGGGACATTTTTATTTCAGCATCTTTTCTCTAAGAGGACTTAAATGAAGCATGGATAGACAGCGTGTAGATACTATGATATATTTAACTTTGTACAAGTTGCATTAAATCTGCACACTCACTGATATATATTCAAATTCATTATTTACATATAATGTACCATCAACCCTGTGTAAATAAGACGACCCCAACCCCCGCCTTGAAAGTCTTCTACTTTTAGTTATGGATAACTCGCCTTATGCACTGTGATATACGAATTTGGATTCTTACTAGTGTGTACATAACCTAAAAAAAGCCGCCCGCCTGCTCGATACCAATTTTTTTTTTTTTCAGCCTCAGGTTGATGAAGAATAGATAAGTAACTCATCCAACTCAATCCATTGTCTTTACAGACCCACCAACCCCACTATAATCCAGCAGTCCAGATCTTGTGACAACCTGACCTCAACCCCCAACAGCAGTGCAGAGAGCGGGGACAGGAAGCTGTCGCTGCCGCTGAAGGGGATCCGTGCCGACATGGAGCTGCCCATGTATGTGCCCGACGTGGAGGAGGTGCGCGTCAGTCCCGTTGTGTCCCGCCGCGGCTATCTCAACTTCATGGAAGACAAAAGCAACGGCTGGGCTAAGAAATGGGTGGTAGGTGGATTAAGCCTGACTAATATTCATGTGGTCAGTGTTTGTTACACCCTGTGAGGCAAGCCAGGAAGTCAGTGTGAAAGTGTAAGCGTAGTTGTGGTACTAAGATCTCGTTGTGGAAAGAGGCCCTGGAATCTGGTTCTCAAAGCAATTGTAGCCCTACAAGTATTATATCTAGTATTTATAGTTATTATATTATGGTGGTTGCAGTTTAACATAAACCAAGACAGTCATAGGGCTAAGATTGCTATGTGAAACGGGACCCTTGGTTAGAATAGGTCCCTGTCTCCCACACTTGTAGTAAGAGCTGACTAAAGAGGAGCAGATGATGACGCTCCGTGCTGATTGTGTCTGAGTGCCCTGATGGCATTGTTGTACATGCTATCAATCACTAGTTTGCCTGGGCCACATTCCGTGAAGCGGATGTTAATGTATGGAAGTTATGATTGTCTTAGCATTAACATTCCTTTGTGGAACGGGCCCTGGTCCAGACTACCGTATTTTCTTGAGTACAGTACAAAAAACACACCTGTGTAGAAGGGGGTGCGCATTATTCACGAATAATGATTTTGATGTTTTTTCCCCCATGGAAAGACATTACCGTGGGCGCGTAACACCGGAAATACCATGTCATCAAATCGATACTGAAGTACGCAAATTAGTCATGTAAATACACTGTCTGACTCTAAAAAGTGTTCTTTGTATATCTGGACTTATGGTTTTTTTTCTTGGTATTCGAATTTATTTTCCAAAATATTGAATCCGCTAGAGGGGGGTACGCACTATACTCAAGAAAATACAGTATGCATATATACAGACCACCATGACACTGCTGAACACTGCTGACTAACAGTGTCAGTTAGGAGTGCCTTGAAGCAATTGTGAACATCAGTGATTGTATCTGTGAATGTAGTTAGTTATTTCTTCCTCGGAAAAGCAGGGAAATATTCACTGATAAGCCATACAATATTGAAAAAAATATTCTAGATAGGTTTTGATACATTATGGGATTGTGTATTGTGTCATGAATTCATGTTTTCCAGATCGTACGTCGTCCATACGTGTACATCTACAACAATGAGAAGGACCCTGTTGTCCGTGGGCTGATCAACCTGGCAACAGCACAGATCGAGTACAGTGAGGACCAGCAAGCTATGCTGAAGGTATGTGTGCCACAGCAAAGTGGGGGCACTGGACCACAAAACATGGCTGCCATATTTGCTTGATGCTTCTTGTTTGGTGCCTGTCACAGTGAGCCAAGCAGAAACATGTCTGCCTAAATCTGAGACATGGTAGCAGCAATTAATTGGTAGCACTTGTTTGGTTTGATATGATTAGACCTATTCACTTCACTGACAAATAAAACATGACATACATGGCCATGTATGGAGCCAATGAAAACAGGAATAGTGTGCTAGGGCTGGGACAGGTAACTCGGGTACTCGGGTCGGGTGGGTAATGAGTAGTACCCGGGTACCCACAGGACTACCCGGACCCGTGGTTAGTCACGTGATATATTGTTTAAAGACAAAATTTATCTAGAACTATATGGTTACACTATCACTAATGTTCTCAGTTTTTTCTGACAACGACGCCCATTCCTTCTGACTTTTATATGTTTGAATAAAAATAAAACTTCAGTAAACTTCAGTGTATACACCAGATCATTTTATGCGTGTATCTAAACACATTTTGCCAGGACTACGGTCAAACTTTTCTCAATCGGACAGTTTGTACCTACCTTATGAGACCTATAGCGGGTATCCGGGTAGGGTCGGCTAATAGGGGGGTGGGTACCCGGGTAGTAAATTTGGACTAATGTGTACAACAGCAAAGTGGGAACAGTGGACCAGAAAACATGGCTGCCATATTGGCTTGATGCTTCCTGTTTGGTACCTGTCACAGTGAGCCAAGCAGAAAAATGTCTTCCTAAATCTAAGACATGGAAGCAGTAATGAATTGGTAGCACTTGTTTGGTTTGATATAATTAGCCCTTGAAATTTGACAGCAATTCACTTCACTGACAAAACATGACATACATGGTCATGTATGGAGCCAATGAAAACAGGAATAGAAAAGGCAAGAGTCCGGATCAGAATTTGAAAGCTTAGCTTCAAAGTTCATCAACAAAATCAGGGCCTAATGTTGATTCAAATTTGCTGGAAGACCAATCAGGTTTTAAACATGTCATGGTAGGCAGGTTTCCCTTTATTCCCGCTTCCTGTGGCAGTGTTGATGCTGATGTACCTTGATTCCCTACATTCCCTCCATTCTAGACTCAGAACACGTTCTCCGTGATGACGAAACACCGCGGGTTCCTGCTGCAGACTTTGGATGACAAGGACTTTCACGATTGGCTGTACGCCATCAACCCCCTGCTGGCTGGCCAGATCAGGTGCGTAACCACAACTACCATGCCACAAGTAATGGTGATTGGTAGGCCACAGTGGCGGCTGGGTAAAAGGGTATAGAAAGTACTTGTTCATGATTAAATTAGGATAAACATTTAGAAGCACTCCCTTCATACTCATGGATAAATAATGAACTATTTTCAACACTGTTCATCTCTGTTTTCAGATCCAAGCTGTCAAGACGGAAGCAGGCAGTCATGATATAGAACATGTTGTTATCAGTAATGGTAGACTGTCGAAAACACTCTCCACATATTTCCCAGCATTCCATTGTAGCAACAAGGGAGATTACTGTAATCAAATTTGTTTACAAAAGGGACATAAAGAATGTGATAAGTGTATAAAGTTGTAGTGTGTTCCTAATCTGGTACGTCAACAAAGCTGCTTACATGAAATCAGAGGCCAAAATATCTTCAATCAATTCTGAAAAAGAAAATTGTACTCCAGTTTTGGTTAAAGTGGGGCAGCCAAGAGATGAGAAGACTTCAGAATGAAATGTGCGTGTCAAGTTTTGAAGGTTGTATATGAATGCTTGGGCAGCCCCTTGAACAGGGCTGAGATGGTATATTTTTTTCCTGATGTTTGTTTTGTTGCTGTTAAGTTTCTTCATTATTGATTGAAGATCCGATCATGTTATGTAATCAATTCCTGAGAATTTGAAAGACTTGATCCAATATTTGGCAAACTTACTCGAAATCATGACACAGAAGGCATGTTCATTCACTCTGGATGAAAAATGATTTTGTTTCACTTAATTTGAAATCATTTTGGCTTTAGCAACCACAAGCCCGAAATAGCTTAGCATACCCAAGGGAAGTAACTCCTGAGACCGTCGAGCCAATGTGTTCAAATATTTATGTCACGTGACATTGTTTGTTTTGTGTGAGAAATTGGTGCTTCATCCAAAATGTCATTTTCATGCTAGGAAACCCTTGTTTGATTATCTCCTAATTATGGAAGTGAAATGTAATTATCCCGAATTTTAACAGATATAGAACTGATGTTCCACAAGGAACGCATTAAAGAAGAAGAGCCAGTTGATAATAAAGAATAGCAGTATAATTCAGTCTGACTGATAATTAGTTTTCAGGTGGATACTGTGCATTAAGTTGCTCATCCTGATTCTTCTGACACTCAACAGCAATCAGTGCTTCGTCCCCTCAAGTATTTCGATGTGTTATAACCTGATATCTCATCTGTTTCGTCATCAGTTATGGAGGTAATCAAAGCAAGGTCACGTTTCAGTTCTGATATCCGGAAAGTGTTCATGTAGGATAATCGCAATATGTAGTATACTTCATGTGAATTTTGACCTCAAGTCATGTATTGCCGAATCAATTATTCTACCCAACTATCTACTGTGTATATTGTGCATGTTGCTGTGTGGTTGAAATTGTGATATTCATGTTGACTTCCTATCAACGTAACATACCAGTGCTGATTTAGTATTTACGGATTGGTTAATACAATGAGACCAATGTTGAATGTACTTAAATCTTTTTGTCTTTTGGGGCATAATTTTAGTAGAGTGGTTGATCAGAAGGAGTGACAAAGGAAACACCTGGAAAAGCTTCATGAACGCTTTACTTGGTGAAGAGTGGAATGGTTTGAGGATGGTGATGATCTTACAAAAATCAGAATTCCAGCATGTTTGTTCATAAAAGGGGAAAAGCTTGACATTTGAATAATCCGTGGTGAATGTGCTGATTGTGCTGTATATGTATTCAATATCCATTTGGCTTTTGAAGATAGAAAATAATTTTAAGTGATACGTTTCACTCTGGAAACCAGATATCTTCTGTGATAATGAGAATCCGGTTTATCTTGACAGACATGTTATTTGACACAGATGTAAGATTGAAATGAAACACTGTCAACTAACTTCAGTTTTGAGTGCTTCTTTGCATAGTTATCATGCCTTTTGAAGTAATCATAATCATTATGAGAGTTTAAACATGTGCAGTTCCTTCGTCACTTCTTTGGAGAACCGATCGCTTATCACTGTCACACTGCCGTGTGTATCAGTTTTCACTTGCTCAGTTGACTAGCTCACCGAAAATATGACATTCTTTATCTCAATATACTTCCGTCGATGTTGAATAGTGCTCCTACGTTGTGATATACATAGTTTTCATGTCTATTCTAGCCACAAAATGTTAGGGACTAAAAATGATGAAATAAGGCAGTATATTGGGTTGTGTTCGGACTCCAGTCCTTTTTGTTTGATCATTATGAATATACTTTACCTGGCTTTCACAGATTCAAGTAAAATTGAGTTTCACCATCAGTTGAAATGGTTGAAGAACATCAAACTTGATGGGTTGACATGGTATTTTGAGACAGGTCATCTATCCTCCTTAACATTTTGTGGGTTGGATGTTTATGTACATACTCTGAAACCATGGTAACAGCATTTAATCACACCATGCGACTGCAGTATATATACTCTCTTGTTGTTTGTGTGTTGATGTGACCATGGTGAATGCTACTCCATTCTCAATACAAGTATTTGGGTTTAAGTATTTTGACCCTTGTGTGTTGATTTCTTGAATATGTAAATATAGGTTAATGAAAAACTTAGAAACAATTCCTCAAATTACAGATCAGGATTAAATACAGATTAAAAGTATGTGACAAATTCAGTATCATTTGGGGAATCCTGAGCTTTGAAGGTTAAACCAGGAAACAGTTGAGTTTTAAGGTAAATGAAGAATACATGTAGTTATGCACATAATTTATTTTGAAATATGGATAAGCATAATTATTTTGAACTGAATGAAACTTCATTTACATTCGAACTGTGTATCATACTTGTTATTATGACAAATATTTTTGGACTGTATTATTTATTTTTTATTTTTGTTTTACTTTGAAACTGTCAAGAGGGTTATATGATTGGTTGTGCTTTTGAACATGTAATGTTCAAAGAAAAAAAGAGATTTCCAAAGATTGTTTACAAAATAGATTGAAGTTACCTGGTCATGCATTTTGTCAATGGCATTTAAGGGCTTTTAACATCAGTTTGAATAGATTGAATTAAATGAGAAATAAATAAATGATCATGAAATTTTATTAAATTAGAAGTAAGACTTCTTTATTTGATTAATATTCTGAAAGCTTGTCCTTACATCATTCTGGAGGAATTATCTCTTATGTTAAAACACCATTCATAAAAAGTTACCTGAATTATTTTTAACCAGTTAAAGCATTATTTCTTATACTCTTAATCTTAGTTTGAAATCAAGTTCTAGTTGTTACTGCGATCAATATTATTTTGAAATGTATGCACTGAAATAAGTTGGATTTATTTAAGATGGTTTTTGCACAAATGTTTGAAATTACCTGTATACATAATGCATTTAAACAGGAATACAGGTAATCAAATATTTTCCCTATGAACTGTGATTGCTATTGTGTTTGTCAATTGTACAGTAATCTGTGTGCCATTGTATCTAGCAGAATTTTTCATGTAAATTATGTATGTAGTGCTTGAAATGCTTTTGTATCATTTCTGCTTGGCTAGCCCATGTACAGCATAGGTGTATCTTGTTCAAGTTGTTGATCATACTATGCATGTCTTTTCATAACTCTCTCATTTATGCCTTAATCTGTACAACTTCAGAAGCAGATTATGTTTCGCATTCTTTTAAAATAATGCTAGCTGTAGGATTCTTGGCTCAAAACACATTTGGGTTTATTAGAAAATGCTAAAATATTTTAATACAAAACCCAATTGTATTTATATTATATATTTAGGTCATAAATACTTGAGTTATGAAAAGAAAATTTCATATATAAAATCATTCCATGACTATCATATACAATGTGCAATATTTACAATCTGTGAAAAATACACCTGTATTTTATGTTGCAGTCTGAAGGCATATATAAAAGTTGCATCTTTTGTTACTGAATTTTATGACTTTATCTTGAAGACTATTTATGGTTCAGAATGAAAGTTTATGTTCATTTTGAGAATGGGTATTAATACTCACTTAATCCTCAGGTATGTAACAAATTCAACTTTCATGTCCTTAATGTAACTATAACTTTCAAATACTAACAGATATACGTACTATTTAAGATTAGAAAGTAAATGGCAAAAACACAAATATTTAGATTAAATTCCATATTTATTTGAAGAATATCTAAGTGAAGTTGTTGATTTACTGTTTGCAATTCACAATGCCACGAATGTATTGAGAATTTCCATCTTGTTCTTTTTGCCAAGTCAGCAAAAAGAGACAACAACCAATAATGGATGGGGCTTTTAGGGAAGATTCCATTTTTGGAATCATTCTTTATGTTGGTAAAGTATCCATATTTGGAGGTATTTCGTGTCTTTCGATGGGAAATATTCTCAACTTGAAGAAACTGTGAATTCCAAACACTTCCTACTTTATCTGAACTGTTTAAGAAGGGATGTCATATAATTTTGACAGGAAATTTATATTTTTGTGTTTGCTTGTTAAATGATGGACATCTAGTTTTATTTGAAATGTATGTTTTTCTTTGGATTTTTCCTTCCAAAACTTACACATGTTGTGTATGAAGATTGAATGTGTACAGAGTTACACACATGATATGGTTGTTCTTGTTACTACGTTACTTAGTGCAACAGGGTTGCTGTTCAACTTGAGTCAAAGTTGTGCTGATTAGGGTAAGAGAAGATTCGCTGCACAGTGCCGCCAGCTTGATGGAAAAGGATCACCTATCAGGCTACTTTGTCCCCTTTCGTATTTCAGTTTAGAAAATCACTATTCCAAGCACTTAATGGTATGAAAACCATGCTATTTGTAAATTATTACTTATCGTATATACTGTAAAAAACTGCTTTTTGCCTTTTTATGGCTTTCCACAGATTTTCTTGAAGGTTTGAAAATAACTAGCACAAGAAAATTTCATATGCTGTGACTGTCCTGTTTTCACGAGCCAATCAAATCGTTTGTCACATCAGTGGTTGACCCACACATTAACATCAGAGAAATCTGCCAATGAAATCCATGTTTTGAACTTGTATCATCCAATCATATTCTTTGATAGTGTCATCCAATTCAGATAGTTAGGCAAATCATTCCAACTGTCTATCACAATACTCATTGGCTTTCTAGCCTGTGATGTCATTGTTGCATCAGATATTTGTTGTATGCAGTATAAACTACCTGTTCGCAATACTGTGTATTTCTGCCAGTACGTGGAAATAAATATTGCTTAGTGCAAAGTGTCCATGTTGTATTGTTTTGAAGTTGATTGTCACATATGGATGTAACTGACTGGACATTCACACCCAGTTCAGCAACAATACGGTAACCCTGTGGGTATTCGTGGTAAGACTTGGTCCCCTGCAATTTAGGCTGGTCGAGAGGAGTGACTAAATGAAGGTGTTATTGGGTGTCGTTTTAAATCCAGATGGGGTGAATTGAATGCTACAAAGAAATTGGGAATTGAACATATGAACATGTGAACAAAAAGCACATGCCAAAGCTTCATTAAAGTCGAGGGGCGGTCGGGTAGCCTCGTGGTTAAAGCGTTCGCTCGTCACGCCGAAGACCCGGGTTCGATTCCCGACATGGGTACAATGTGTGAAGCCCATTTCTGGTGTCCCCCGCCGTGTTATTGCTGGAATATTGCTAAAAGCGGCGTAAAACCATATTCACTCACTCATTAAAGTCGAATTTTTTACTTCGATAAGATAAATACGACCACAGGAGTTTGCGTCAGAAGAACTTTCTCAGCCAATCAGCATCCAGGCATCTAAATGCTCGGCACGAGTGAGCCAAGCATTCAGACAAGCAATCATGGAGTTTCGAATGTAAGAATAAAACCTCAGGTTTATCTTGTGGATATTTGATACATCCTGCCAATTCTGAACACAACTGCATCCACATCCAAATGGGTGTAGTACTATCGAGCGTATTATTGTATTCCGTTGCGGTTTCTTTCACTAAGATCGAATTTGCGAAGCGACGTGGTTAAAATTAAAATTAAAATTGGGTGGTCAAAGTTAGCCCAAGGTTCCCCTTGTACGACCTTCTATTGAGGTGTCTACAGATCTTTACGCTAACATGTATCATATCAAAGAATTATAATGAGATTGCATGCCAAATCTACGTCAGTGACCTACTATTGAACAGTCCACTGCCGATTTGTTGAAGGCACCGTCGGCTGAAGTAGTTTATGTATTCATGGTCTCACTCAAGCTTTCCACAAGCTACGGCCATATGTCTTCCGCCCATTTTAGCGAGACCATTTTGACCCGTGATCAGGCTCGCTGACTTGGTTGATGCATGTCATCGTATCCCAATTGCGTGGATCGATGTTCATGTTGTCAATCACTGGATTGTCTGGTCCAGACTCGATTATTTACAGACCGCCGTCATATAGCTGGAACATTGCTGAGTGCGGCGTTGAACAACAAACAAACAAACAAAGCAAGACCATTTCTTCATCCTTGAAACAACTTAATGTGTCCAAGGATCGAGATAAAAGTAAAAACTCCCGCACTGCATCCCCAAACTCAAACCAAACAGCAAAAACTATGAGCAAGAGCCGAAGTATTGTTTTTGGGCGGCACTTTCAGGGTATAACGATTAACGAGAAATCAGGTAGTCCGAAGACCCTTCTCCCGGCTGCTGTCCATACACATCTTTCTGACGCCCGGACAGTCCGACAAGCAGGTGCCTGTCCTGTGTGCACCCATGTCGAGAAGTAGAACCTCCGATTACAAAGCTGTAAGTATTTACATTTTGCAGTATTATTACAGTAACATGTTATAATATATGTTTGTAATTATGTATCAATGAACACGAATATTTCAAACCATGGAATTATGTTCTTTTCCAGGTACTCAAAGTTTGCTTGACCCCACCCCTGTGGTCAGTGTGAAATCATCGTCCTGGACTTCGGCGACGTGGAAGGCCTGCACACCTCTCTTGCCCGACACAGAAAATGAGGCTGCTCTTTTCATTGATTTTCAGGAAGACTTAACTACTATCGCTACAGGTAACACTATTTTTATTTAAAATATATTATAATATTTTCAAATACAAATCACGAGCACGTTTATTCCAAGATAAACAAAACGTACAATGTAATTCTTTCTTTTCATCAGAAAGTCGCTGGCACTGTCGTGCTTCCCAAAGGACAGCATCAACAAGTCATCACAAGTGTGATACACAGATTTGGACCAGAGTAGAACCCATGATCATAGACCCTTGGATCGCAATCGGAACGCTGGTGCTACTGGACCGAATTTGGATCCCTTCGGATCGCTGGAACGCACTTTGGTCGCTCTGACAGCAAGTGCCCGAACGGCACTCAGTCCGCACTATTTGTTTGCTTGCATATAGTTTCATCCAATCGGTAATCAGGTTACCGTTACTTCAAAATCGATATTATGAATTTCCAACGTTTCTGTGTTCTGAGCTTCCAATCAGTCTGTTACAACATACCCAACTTGTGCCAAGTAGATGCTTAAGTGCTTCATCAACGCTTTGTGGAAACAAGCATTGATCGACTGGTACTTTCACTTCATACCGTCACTGGAAATTACAGTCATTTTGATTGACTTTTTGTCTCAATATTATTTTTTCTCAGTTCATTGCCGATGAACTGTTTACATCAGTCTTATAACTTTTGGGGGCAGTCGGGTAGCCTAGTGGTTAAAGCGTTCGCTCGTCACGCCGAAGACCCGGGTTCGATTCCCGACATGGGTACAATGTGTGAAGCCCATTTCTGGTGTCCCCCGCCGTGATATTGCTGGAATATTGCTAAAAGCGGCGTAAAACCATACTCACTCACTCACTATAACTTTTGGAAGGCATTTTGCCTAACAACACAACAAATACGGTTTCGTCTGTACGAACTCACATCCAACAGAATTGGCTAAAACTTAACCTTGTAATCTGCACAGTTGCATATAACAAGCGGAGCGGGTATTCTGAAATTTCCAACTTGTTCCCAATACTATTCCCTTTTATGAATTTGTTCATTTATTTAGATAAATCCAACGGCATAAATCAACGTATTTACATATCAGCGTCTTTTCCCAGTGACTGCTCAGCCAGTGTCATTATAACAGCACAGTATCCTACCTGCATAACATTTTTGCCATTTCTTCCATTTAATGACCGCTTGTTCATGCCTGCTCCATCTGAATCAGACAGACCGATGTCTGCACGTCAGTTTTTGAGTTGAACAGTATTCGACAAGGGGCAGTGACTGCCCTATGTCATTAACTTTAATTGCGCTGTATAAGTTATGATATAATTTTATTAAAGTGGACAGACATAAACTTCTTACTATTTCAAATCTATTCGTCCTTAAATTTGCAGAACATTGTAACTATCTTTCTTAAAAGGGTTATGTCACATATTATGTCAAGGATTATGGTACGTCACATAGAGGGTTATATCATGTTAAATGGAGGGTTATAGTTTGCCATATGGAGGGTTATAGTACGTCATATAGAGGGTTATAGTACGTCATTGTGAGGGTTATAGTATGTCATATAGAGGGTTAGAAAGGACGTCATAGTCGAAGATTGTTGACGTCATTCGACAAATTGTGGTTCCGCTGCTGTTGCGAATTTAGGCACGAGCATGCCATGAACACGAACATAATGTTCTATTTATTACCGAAGAAGATATCTTCATACAGAGACGAATTTTAGTGTTTACCTATAAGGACAGCAAGTCGCAAAAGCAGGGTTTATGTTTGTCATATGGAGGGTAAGGGTATGTCATATGGAGGGTTAGGGTGTGTCATATGGAGGGTTAGGGTATGTCATATGGAGAGTTAGGGTATGTCATATGGAGAGTTAGGGTATGTCATATGGAGGGTTAAGGTATGTCATATGGAGAGTTAGGGTATGTCATATGGAGGGTTAGGGTATGTCATATGGAGAGTAAGGGTATGTCATATGGAGAGTTAGGGTATGTCATATGGAGGGTTAAGGTATGTCATATGGAGAGTTAGGGTGTGTCATATGGAGGGTAAGGGTATGTCATATGGAGAGTTAGGGTATGTCATATGGAGGGTTAGGGTATGTCATATGGAGAGTTAGGGTATGTCATATAGGAGTTAGGGTATGTCATATGGAGAGTTAGGGTATGTCATATAGGAGCTAGGGTATGTCATATGGAGAGTTAGGTATGTCATATAGGAGCTAGGGTATGTCATATGGAGAGTTAGGTATGTCATATAGGAGTTAGGGTATGTCATATGGAGGGTTAGGGTATGTCATATAGAAGCTAGGGTATGCCATATGGAGAGTTAGGTATGTCATATAGGAGTTAGGGTATGTCATATAGAGGGTTAGGGTATGTCATATAGCAGCTAGGGTATGTCATATGGAGAGTTAGGTATGTCATAAAGGAGTTAGGGTATGTCATATGGAGGGTTAGGGTATGTCATATAGGAGCTAGGGTATGTCATATGGAGAGTTAGGGTATGCCATATGGAGAGTTAGGGTATGTCATATAGGAGTTAGGGTGTGTCATATGGAGAGTTAGGGTATGTCATATGGAGTTAGGGTATGTCATATGGAGGGTTAGGGTATGTCATATAGGAACTAGGGTATGTCATATGGAGAGTTAGTTATGTCATATAGGAGTTAGGGTATGTCATATGGAGAGTTAGGGTATGTCATATGGAGAGTTAGGGTATGTCATATAGGAGTTAGGGTATGTCATATGGAGAGTTAGGGTATGTCATATAGGAGCTAGGGTATGTCATATGGAGAGTTAGGTATGTCATATAGGAGTTAGGGTATGTCATATGGAGGGTTAGGGTATGTCATATAGAAGCTAGGGTATGCCATATGGAGAGTTAGGTATGTCATATAGGAGTTAGGGTATGTCATATAGAGGGTTAGGGTATGTCATATAGGAGCTAGGGTATGTCATATGGAGAGTTAGGTATGTCATAAAGGAGTTAGGGTATGTCATATGGAGGGTTAGGGTATGTCATATAGGAGCTAGGGTATGTCATATGGAGAGTTAGGGTATGTCATATAGGAGCTAGGGTATGTCATATGGAGAGTTAGGGTATGTCATATGGAGAGTTAGGGTATTTCATATAGGAGTTAGGGTATGCCATATGGAGAGTTAGGTATGTCATATAGGAGTTAGGGTATGTCATATAGAGGGTTAGGGTATGTCATATAGGAGCTAGGGTATGTCATATGGAGAGTTAGGTATGTCATAAAGGAGTTAGGGTATGTCATATGGAGGGTTAGGGTATGTCATATAGGAGCTAGGGTATGTCATATGGAGAGTTAGGGTATGTCATATGGAGAGTTAGGGTATTTCATATAGGAGTTAGGGTGTGTCATATGGAGAGTTAGGGTATGTCATATGGAGAGTTAGGGTATGTCATATGGATGGTTAGGGTATGTCATATAGGAACTAGGGTATGTCATATGGAGAGTTAGGGTATGTCATATAGGAGCTAGGGTATGTCACATGGAGAGTTAGGGTATGCCATATGGAGAGTTATGTATGTCATATAGGAGCTAGGGTATGTCATATGGAGGGTTAGGGTATGCCATATGGAGAGTTAGGGTATGTCATATGGAGAGTTAGGGTAAGTCATAGAGGAGCTAGGGTATGTCATATGGAGAGTTAGGATATGTCATATAGGAGCTAGGGTATGTCATATAGGAGTTAGGGTATGTGATATGGAGAGTTAGGGTATGTCATATAGGAGCTAGGGTATGTCATATGGAGAGTTAGGATATGTCATATAGGAGCTAGGGTATGTCATACAGGAGCTAGGGTATGTCATATGGAGAGTTAGGGTATGTCATATGGAGAGTTAGGGTACCGTATGTCATATAAGGTGAGGTGGGGTTGAGTTTAGCATCGCGTCCATGATTATTGCTCTTATATAGCGACATGCATTCACGTGTGTGTGCGTGCGTGCATGCGTGTGCGTGCGTGTGCGTGCGTGTGTGCTTGTACTATTCCGGACAAATGCCGATTTTACAGTGCATGTCGCAGTTTATCATGAATACTCCGCTAAGACACAATGAAGATTCACTAAACACAGAAACGGTACGTGATATTAAGTGAGTTTAAATTATATATTTTCAGACAGAAATCTTGATCACCAGTTGACATGGAATCTCTTATTACACAATGCAATTCTCTCCATTTTGTTACTTAATATTGATTATATAATAGAGCTGGTCAGACTAGCTGGTCAGTCGATTGGTTTTGTTTTCATAAAATACATATTTTTGTTGTTGTAACACTTTCGATCTAATGATATATACAGTAAACTACGGTTATAACGAACTAACTTTTTAGTCCCGACTATATGCTGTAGTTATGCTGTATATATGCTTATAACGAATTACGGTTATAACGAACTAAAATTAGTAGTCCCTTTGAGTTCGTTATAACCGTAGTTTACTGTAGATGTATATGTGTACATGGAGTCTGTTACACACGCCCGAGGGGTTTTCATGAGAGTACTCGCATCAAGGTGAAACAACAGAGAGCCGACAACTATAGCGAGACTCTCTGATGCATTCTTACCTGTGAGAAACCGGATTTTAATACCGAGCTCTTAAACAAGGTCACTGTAAACAAACCGTTATTGCGCCTTTGTGACTCTGCACTATGCGTGAACTTTATACATTGGGGAAATAGAAGGAAGTGCGGCATGAACGCGGCTCGACCAAACAGAAAACGGGTGTTTTCATTGGCTAGATCATAGATGCTTCGACGCACCTTGTTTATATATGCGCAACGGGTGTCCTATATAAGTAGAAAAACTTGTAACCCTCAACAGATCGACCCCGCGGGCAGTAAGGTAAGACTTCATCCAGTGTAGTGTTTGAATCTACTGCCTATACTTCAGAACTGTTTTACGATTTGGTAGCGGTAGGGATCAATACACAAGTTAGGGAGTGGTTTCTATAGGTTTTCTATCCAACAAAATCAACTTTAAGGGGATTTACAGTTAAAATGAATAAAAAAAACAGCTCCATTCGTCATATTTTCTTCTGCAACTGAGCGGTATTATATCCATGAGAGGAAAAACAGTCAACTAAGACCCGAAAGCTCGCTTGAGTTATTCAGGGGCTGGTTGGTCGATTTCTCGGAACTTAGCATTTGGAAGACGCTAAAGATATACTTTTTTCGTGCATTATGCTGATGTTAAATCTCTTTTGCAACTCGAATTATATATAACTGTACTAAGAGACAAACGATTGGTAAGGGCAATGTGTACACATTTCGATTATCTCTTCACAACTTTCAAGTCAACATTATTCGTAAAAGTTCAGCGTTAAATATACCTCAAACAGAATCTGTATGTAAAGATAAATACCATGTCTTTTTTGTATGTAAACAATATCTTAACTTGAGAAATTGGTTTTTTTTATCTCATAGCAGAAATATTATAAAGATAGAATTACGCTTGCAAATTTATTTAACTCTTGTGATAATAATGTTCTACCTTCGATAGCTTTATATTTATGAGATGAGATCAATACAGATGTAATACTCTTGACATGTGGCCGAAAAATAATTTATCTTTCATCTGTTCTATGGGCTATGTGGCTGAATTACGAAATAAATTTGAATTGAAAAAAGGGTGCTTTTCCTACAGTTTGTACTGCCCCTTAAGCTATCTTTTAAATATGATAAGGAAAGTTGTAATTGAATCAGATGTGTTGGTACCCTAGATCCAGTGGGTAGTCCGGGTTAGAACAGGCCCCCAGCTATTGACGTTAGAGGCGACCTAATGGTGGGATGGTCATGCTCCACATGTTCGGTGACATGGTTGATGGCGTGTTACCTCACCCCGACGGGACAAATCGTTCCTCATACAATCAAGAATTGGTTTTCCTTGTCCAGACTCAATTATTCATAGGCCGTCGTCATTTAGTTGGAATATTGTTGTGTGCAGCTTTAAACAAGAAACAAACCTTATTCTAGAACCGGCCCAAGGCTATCCTGCGTTTTTGTGTGGAGACTGGATATTTTTAACAGCTGCAGGGACATTTGAAACATCTGCAGCTGCAAAACCAGATATTTTAAAATTATAACAGTGAGCCTCAATATATGTTTTTTTTATAAAAAAAACCCATCTTCCAACAACTAGTGTCTTTGGTGGCAGGCATTTGTTTTCAACCAGAAGCATCCTTGATTTTATTCAAGCATCCGTGTTTTTTTCTGGGACAATATAAAATCCCAGGTTCCCCCCTATTAGTGATACATGTCATTTGTCACTCACTCCGATTGTCACACAGAGGATATGGCGATCAGTTAAAATAATGCCAACTGTTGAGTGTCGATTCCCAAATTGAAACAATATGTTAACCCAGAAATCTGTACGTAAAAGAACTTAGTGTGAAACCAACAAACAACTATCAAATGGTGTACACTCATCAAATGTGTTACAAATATTCACTAGGTTTACAAATCAATACAAATTACTGCTCAACATTTACAATGGCAGTACATAATAGAGTGGTAATACAATATCCAATGGCATTATATTATACGATGGCAATGGTCAGTATAAAATACAGAAATTTAGTGGTGATAGCAAAGGTCAGTGATAAAAACATATATTCACCCAGCGGTCAAGCTTCTGAGATGGACTAGGCAGGACATCGGGGATGATGAGTGATCCTCACATGAAAGCTGGTCCCGTGTTAGTAATTAAGTCTAACTATCTAATGGAAATTTCTACACAGTGTCCTCACCAGCCTAACGGCACTAGAACATTACAGAATATTCTACATGAGTCCACGGTATACCGGAAGTTTACATGCGACTGCTTACATTAGATAGTACTACATTCCTAACGGCTTATCACTGTCCAAACACAATGCAATGAGCGTCTACCGAATATCAACAGAAACAATGTAACACAGTTTTAACACTACGGCTGTAATGGAATAATCCTAATAATTTCTAATTAGGACGGTCTACAGGAGATAAGATGCTGAGAACTAGAGTCACAGTTTAAATAACTAATCCACACTGGAAAACACACTGTTAACAAAACTAAAAAATAAAGTAGATATAAGTAATCTAATTAAACTCGCTGTAAACAACACTTACTCCTTCATATCTTTTTACTTTTAGTTTGACATTTCTACAGGAGATGAGATGCTGGACAAGCTTGAGTCCGAGTTTAGATAACTAATTCACATTAAGATTCACATAAGAATTGACTTTCACTTTATGTAAATTTCATGGAGCATAAACCTTCATAGAGTGAGGGCCAGACCTCAGACGTTCATACAACTTTTGGCCCGCACTCTATGAACAATCATATTACAGAGTGATTCATATGTTTATTTATATCATTATTTTATACCTCGACGGATGTCATGGTTTCACTTTAACGCGGAATAAAATAGTTCACCAGAAGGAGAGGTTACATGTGTGTATGTACGATCAAATTGCTACACAGGAACATCATTTGTAGTTTGGTTACAAGAATTAGATTAAAATAATATCATTAGATAAAAAAGGTCTCTTAAGAAGTACCTCAGTAAGTCGGTCACGGCGACAGCGCGTCGTGATACATTTACATCGCATACAGGATGTCAAAAAGGGCGAAAAGAAACACGCGAGGATATTCTCGAACGGGCATGCAGTTAAACCCTCTGACTTATCCAAATGTATACAAAAACACTAAGTTCAAGATAATGGATCCCAATGACAACACACAACGCTTCTGTATCTATGCGTGCCAGGGAAATCTCAGGGGTTTTCCCAGGAATGTTGAAGTAGTCCGTCAGTGTTTTCGTCATTTCTTGAATACAATCTCGTGAAAAACGTATGAAGGACAAAAAGTGTGATTAATGTGCTTATGGTTAAACAATGATCTGAGTTGATCTACAGGTAACTACAGGTTTTTCTCCATTCTACCATGACTAAATAAAACGCGAACGTTTTGGTGTTGGAAAATACATTGAGTGAAGCGGCACGGGTCCAGTGTTTCATTGGGTTGTCGATCAGAATTTACGGAATAATCGGCAACAGCCTTTATCAAAATGTGGCACTGTGTGTGCTCAACCAGTTTGTTTACACCCCAGTACTCCAACATGTGACAGGAATTGAAAGTATTTCAGCACGGCAACTTGGTAATTTTAAGCTAACATGAGGTGGGCATCCCTAACGAAAACTTAGCAAGCTCAGCAAAGTTTTCGTTCTTCAACGCACGTTACTATTATGACGTTATATCGCTCATTGTGACGCAAAAGATATGACGTCACAGTTGTATATAGAAAATCGCAAGATTCCAAGCTCTCTGTAGTCCCCAAAACCTAAAACAAATAGCAGATTTATAACGTGTTTTCTGCACAAAATGTATTGAAACATCCTTTTAATATTTTGGTAACCGCAACTTTGCATTTTGTAACCTATAACCTACCGACAATGACTAAAATATTCTATGAATATCAGCTTCCGCGGTGATTCGGCCGTCAAATCGACTATTTCAATCAGAGCGGGGTTTATTGTGATTTGACAACATCTGATTGAGGAATTTCCAAATTCATGGTAGAATAAAGAATGATCTTTGTTCAATATGCAGTTTCAATTAAAAAACCCAAGAGATTTGGGCACTTAGGTGTGAACAATCTCATGACGATGCAGTATAAGTACATATTTCATTTTGTATATTTGTATGTTTATATGTTTCCACAGGATGAAGTCGGTGTGTGTTTTGGGGTGTCTTCTTCTTGTTTTGGGAGCTGTTTCCTCCCAACTGAGTGAGCAAAGTTTCACGTACTTTGGTGTAAATATTTCCTGTGCCGCGTGGAGTTACGCCCCATAATTTGCCAGGACCTACTTACTATGGGTTCGAATCCCGTTTCAGCACTTGATCCTTGGTTTCAGGTGTTAGACAGCATATTACCCGTGCTCGTTCGTCCCAGTGTTGGCGACAAAGACCTGCATCCTAGTGGTTGTTGTCCCACAATATCCTGACACACCGAGATACATGGGAAACACGGTTGCACCAAACTCGTTGGCTCACCGTTTTCACAGACTAAAACATCCGGGTTAAAATAGGTCTTCAGCAGCCCATGCTTGCAGTAAAAGCCGACTATACTTGTCGTATAGGAGGCGACTGACGATATCGGATGGTCAGACTCCCTGCCTTGGTTGATGCATATCATCGAATCCCAATTGCATAGATCGATGACTGGGTTGTCTTGTCCTGACTCGATTATTTACAGACCGCCGTCATATAAACTCATGTCCAAAGAAACGATGCCAAGTGTTCGAAAGGTTATGGAAGAAAAACAAAACCATACAGAAAATTCATATTGGAATATTTCATTAGAGCAATCTTTTAACATCATGTGTACAAAAATTCATTTTAATCATATTTTAACATGCAGACGTTTGTGTTGGTATTGTGTTCCTAACGTGCCGGGTCAACAGTTTTAACAGTAGATCTGCACGTGGATTTCCTGCTGCGGCACATGACATCGTTTTTGCAAAGTGTACGTTTTTTACACAAATTGTCAAATTTTCCCGCTTTTTCCCACCGATCACATTTGGCTTGGTGCGTGGGGTTAATATGTTTTCATATAAAGTATATCACTTATAACTCAAAATGAATTAAAAATAGTTGGTATCGTTATTTTTGGACGTTAGTTTAGCTGCAATATTGCTGAGTGCAGTGTAAAACAACAAACAAACAGACTAAAAACGTTACTGTTAATTTTGAAAGCCTGACATGTACGTTCTGATGTCTTATGCAACATTTGTATCTCTTGTATTTTCTTTCAGATGTTGCACCGGTGTTTAAAGAACGCTACTGCTTGTGCGTTATCCGCTGCTGCCACTTCTCTGAATCTTCGCTCTTCAAACGAAGTTTGACCCAAGCTTTCTCAGACATGGCCCACGTTCGACACAAACGATGCTGCGGCTGCACCAATTGCTATCACAATTCTTAATTTGATTTGTGGATGTGTTTGGTTGTATTGTTGTTTGGTGTAGCGAACGTACATACAGTTGTGTTCGAATGTGATGAAGGCATGTGTACAACATTATAAGCTTATCAAGCGTTAAACCGCATCATCATAAGATGTGAAAAAGTAATATGCCTTGCTAATGGCAAGGTTCGCTATAAACGAAATAATGTCGAGATTCTTGTTGCAGGAAATAATTGCGAAATTCGACTGAAAGGATTAAATGTAGAAATTTGTTTTAAGCCAAATAAATTCCAGATTCGTTTTAGACGAAATTACGAGATCCAATAAAACGAAACGGAGTTTGTTGTTTATCCTTAAGTATGACTGCCGGTGGGAGAGGATACGCTCACCTTTTCGCGAACACCTGGTGTCATCACTATTTGACAGTGATTTATGGATACACACATATGATATTTATTTATTCGTAACTGGTGATTTTGTAATCATATGTTCACGCTTGGACACACTAAAATGGACTTATGCGAGGTTGATTTTGGTGCGGGTTTGTTTACACTTCCTGAATATATAACACCGTTATGAATGGCCTGAAGAGGCCCTGTTACGACGTAAATTATAATAAAAAGGTAAATTGTAATACTTGCAGCAAATTGTAATAATTTTGACGTAAATTGTAATAACAACGTAAATTGTAATAAAATTTGACGTAAATTGTAATACGCAAATTGTAATAAAAATTGACGTAAATTGTAATAATCTCAACTTGCCGTAAAATGTAATAACTTTTTACGTAAGTTATAATAACCTTATAAGTTTAGTGTCAAAGGCGTTAAATGACTAGAACCTATCCTTGTCAGGGTTGGTACAGGGTTAATCTTTAAATCGTCATTAAAGTATGGGTGTGGGGGAGGATTGAGGTCGTTATCGTACATTGTTGTATAATTATATGTATATATAAACGCATTGGAATGTCATTTCTATGGTTGTCCAGAAGAGGATTAATTACTAGAATGAACTTTGTTTTCTTATTTATTTGAGAAATACTCTGTGGGTTTTGTAACTGGTAAAGTAGGTAGTAATATACACAATGGAATAATTATAACGCAACAAACTTACACAAATATATTGATGTGTAAATGTGGAAAATCTGACTTTTATTGACTGAAGTAAATTTATTTATTTTGCAACTGTATATTTGTACATATTTTATGCTGAGAGGGGTTTACTAAGTTGCAAGAACTTGTCCCCAATACAATTATCATTTTGTTCTGTGAATAAAATATGTTTAAACTAAACTAAACTAGCAAATGTATGACATGTCATTCTGCAGTAGCCTGTGTGCAAGCTGATTTATACATGTTCATATACATAATATCAATTGTAAGGATGTAAAGGATGTAAAGCAAATAATGACAATGTAGTGGGCAATGTACATGAAGGTATGTGAACCCGCAAGGACTACCTTTATCAATTATTTTACGTGCAGCTTGTGTCATGTCTGTATTGTTAGAATGATACTCTAGCAACTGTACACATCGAAATTTATGACTGAAAGATCCATCCTCGGGTTGAAAATGATGGATTACATTAGGTACGTCTATTCGACAAATAGGTAAATTGATTTATCATCCAATAGTAGCTTAGCTAGGAGTCCATTGCAATAACATTGAGTTACGAGTTACCGAAGAGAGCTCTGTGCAACCGGACCCTGAAATTATGTCGATTTGCATTGGAGGTTTACTTAATTTTATAAGGAGCACATGACCGTTTCCTTGAAACAAACGAGACAATTCAAACGTATTTATACATTATACTTTGACGAAGAATTCAAATACAACAAATGAGTGACAGATCTCCTGTGCAATGTCAAAGGAAACAAAACAGTCGCAAGCAAATGCAGCATAGATTTCCCGTGACATGGGAAAGGAAAATACTAATTGCCCCAACAACAAAAACAGAATCCATCATGATAACGGCACGAAATCATAATTCAATGCATACACAAATAATATCCGGTATCTTCGGGCATGTCTTGATGAGTTTCAAAGAGTATCAGAATGTATTATAAATTTGTTGCAATCGATTATTGCTGAAATATATCTGTTTTGATCAATGGATGGAAAATCTATAATGAAAAGGGTTTTGTCACTAACGTAAATATTCTCTTTGACCTTATACGAAGAGTATTCTAAGGTCATTAAACTCGGCAATCGTTGGTGGATTGCGCCAAGCAACCTTGATACCAAATTTGGTACCTCACGTATAATGCAGTACATAATTTTCGAAACAGATAATTACGTTTTTCATAAGTTATCACTAATTTGTGACATAAACTGACGTCAAAGAGAAACTTTACCAACTGAAAATATAAATTTCATACAAAGTATATTTTTTTCCGATGAAGTCTATCTAAAATACATAACCTAAATACAACAATAGTGTATCCAGAAAATGTTAATCGTCTGTTATATGTTTGCGAGATAACACGCGAAAAAGTGAGAACCACGTGAATGAGCCTTGGGTATGGTACAGATGGGAGCCACCCAAGCCCATATTGCACGAACCTTCGGTTGCTCCCGTGTTGCCGTTACCAACTTGATGCAACGTTACACACATACAGGGCGGACCACTGACAGGCCAAGAACAGGCAGACCCAGGGTGACCACGCCCCATGATGATCGGTACTTGCGTATCTTGCACCTCCGAAATCGCTTCCTGACAGTGACGTCAACGGCGACAAATGCCTTAGGTCACAGGGTTAGTCGACAGACAGTGGCCAGGAGACTCAGGGTTCATGGAATCAGGGCTTTCAGACCATACAGGGGACAGCTATTGACAGCGCAACATCGTCGTCTGCGATTGAGATGGGCCCGAACTGTACGACGTTGGCAACGACGTGACTGGCAGAGGGTTGCCTTCACTGACGAAAGTCGATTCTGTATGTTTAGGGCTGATGGAAGACAACGTGTTTACCGGCGAAGGAGTGAACGAAAGGCGGCGTGTTGCGTGCAGGAGGTCGTACCATATGGTGGAGTGAGTGTCATGGTGTGGGGAGGGATCTGTGGGCAGGAGAGGACACCGCTGGTCATCGTTGACGGAAACTTGACAGCTCAGCGTTACATGTGTAACATTCTTCGTCCAGTTGTCCTACCATTTCTCCAAAATCAGCCACGTGGTGTCATTTATCAGCATGACAACGCTAGAGCCCATACAGCCAGAATTGTCACTAACATCCTCGCAGCCAACAACGTCAACGTCCCGCCGTGGCCTGCACGCTCAACCGACATGTCCCCCATAGAATACCTCTGGGACTTGATGGATCGTCGTGTTCGACAACGACCACACTCTCCAGCTAACCGACAAGACCTGATCTTGGCCCTCCAAGAAGAATGGCCTCAAATCCCATGTGACCTCATCAGACGACTGACTTTTTCTGTGCGTCGAAGAGTTTTTGCGTGTATTGAGGCATTTGGTGGTCACACACGCTACTAATGACTTGTTATTGAACGTGAGCGATTGTTTATGTACTCTGCCTATTGTCCATAATTCTGAAAGCTCGAGTTTTGTACCACACCCAACTTTGGGGGTCTCTGACGTCATTCTCGGTCACGGTATGATTGTCATCTTCAGTGTTGATTATGTTGATATATTGATCTTCTCAATACATTTTACTTCATGCATGTATGTTTTGTTGTTTTTGAGCAAGGGTGATTTCAAACTCTGGTAAAGTTTATATACGGACAAAAATTACCTCAGAGGATAATCTTCTCTGGGGGTTTAAGAGGATTAAAATAATTCCAGCTAACATCAAGCACTGTAATAAAATATTGAAATTATAGCATACCTTCTTAACATTCCAACGAAAAGAATAGTGACTAACTAAGAAACCAAATTATATTTATCTCCGATACTATGCCCTCATCAGTATACAGTTATTACAGTGCTTGATGTTCGCCCAAATTACTTTAATCCTCTTATTCTTTCAGAGGAGGTTATGTTTTTAGGGGATTATTGTACGTATATATTTCGTATCAAGGTTTCTTGGCGCAATCCACCAACGATTGTCGAGTTTAATGATCTTCAAGTACGTTTCAAGGTCAAAGAGAAAATTTACTTTAGTGACAAACATATTTTCATTATAAATTTCCAATTCCTTAAAAGTTTCTATTTGGATGCAAGCAGATATATTTCAGCAATTGATTGCAAGAAATTTATGATAATTCGTATACTCATTGAAACTGTACAAGAGTTATCCGGAGATACCGGATGTTATTTGTGTATGCACGGGATCTGTCGACTCATTTGTTGTATTTGAATTCTTCGTCAAAATAAAATGAATTGTATAAATATGATTAAATTCCCTCGTTTGTTTCAAGAAAAGGATCATGTCCTCCTTATCAACTAGTATAGCGTTTCCACTGCAAATCGACACACTGGTTGACAAGCCTGTGTTTGTACCCTTCGTCATCACTCGTTCAGTCGTGTCGAAATGGTCAACGTACTGTTGAAGCAAGTCATGCAAAAAAACATCTTGAATAGCCTTGTAAGAGTATAGAACAATATGTCACAATTAGGTTATTTGTCGAATATACGGTTGTGTAACCCATCATTTTGAACCCGAGGATGGATCTTTCAGTCATTTAAATGTATCGATGTTGACACCACCCTTTAATGACGATTGTACGATAAAGCCTATACCAACCATCCCTAACTTAACAGTTTTGTACTTTTGTCATCATACACAGTATTTCTCGAATTGTACATGTGAAACGCAAGCTCAACTGACAAAGATCATTTCTAGTCAATTGGCGTCTTGGACACTACGGTAGTAAGGTTATTACAATTTACGTAAGAATTTATTACATTTTAACGCAAGTAGAGATTATTACAATTTACGTCAATTTTTATTACAATTTGCGTATTACAATTTACGTCAAATATTATTACAATTTACGTTATTATTACAATTTACGCCAAAATTATTACAATTTGCAGCAAGTATTACAATTTACCTTTTTATTACAATTTACGTCGTAACAGGCCTGTTTGAGATGAAAGACTTCTTCAGTAAATCAAATCCAACTTTTATTTTTACAATTTTTTTTATATAAAATACTTTTTTATATATATACTAGCAGAAAATAAATTGTTAAATATAACCTCCGAGTTACCCTGTGTAATCTCTTCAACGAAGAAGCTTGGTGTTTACCTCACCAGGACCGAAGGTCTAAGTGCACTCCACTGTTCTATTAAACGTCTGAGTGAGTGAGTGAGTTGGGTTTAACGCCCGCTTTTATCATTATTCCAGTTATATCACGGCGGTTTTTTAAAC